TACTTCAGAGCAGAAGTCATTTGAAATCTATGAACTGCGAATGGAATGAGCAGTGAATCCAAATTAAGCTCTTAAAGTGCCAGTGCTGTCACACTTGGTTTCTTCGAACACCAGAAAATCTCTCTTCACCCAAAATAATTGAAAGGCAACTGTAAAGGATTTTTCAAAAAAACTCAAGACATGTAGAGAATTAATCTATATTTTGCTGTAACCAGCAATGTTAAGGTTTAAGTATAACCACACTTTGCAGCATGAGATTATAAAAGAAAAGATTAATCTTACTTTAAACAGCCACTTTTAATCTATATTTTAAAGTTTTCAATCAAATTTCTTATACCAGTCAAATGTTTATTCTGTACATATTTGTTTGATAATATATTTTCTAAGTTCTTTGTACATATATAAACTTTCCACCTGTGCGTATGTGTATGTAAATGTTTTCTAAGTACCTGCAGATAGTGGAAAGGATTCAAGAGTATATATAATGTATCTGTATTGACAAGGTGTGTAGATCTCTGAATAACTTACCTTAGTACATTGAGTACTAAGTACATTGAGTACTAAGATAGACTCCCATTTTGGCCTGAAGTAGCAATTTTTTACCACCTGAAGACCTCAATATGATAAGGTTTCACCTGTTTCACCTTCATTTTAAATAGATGGATTTATATCAGAACATAGAACATAACAAAAGGGTACAAATGACACAAAGTCATCTGGCACATTTTGCTTGCATTGTTGCTAAAAACATAGCCTTCAGAAATTCATGTGTCTTAAAGTATTCCAGCTTCAGAAAGCAGATAGCAAGCTTGTTCCAGACTCCCACAACGCTTTGTGTAAAGAATTGCTTCCTGTTTTCCATCCTCAATTTTCTGAACTTAATTTCTTGCTTTTGTCCCTAGGCCTGTCTATCATTGCTGATCGATGATGTTGTTCCCAAAATTGACTTGATCAATAAATACTGTACCTTGAAGGATTCTAAGTACCCGAATCAAACGCCCTTTTTTTCCAGGCCAAAAAATCTGTTCCTATAAGCTGCTTTCATTGTATTTACACCAAGCAAGATGAGCATTAAAAGTTTGGAAAACTGACCTGTTTGTGCTCAGGTTTCTTTGTGTATGTGTGCAATATCAGCACACAGAAAAACAGAAGTACAGCAGAAGTACTTCTTATTAGTTTACCATATAAAAGGCTTCCGTTTATTATTGTTTCTAAGTTAAGGCAGCAGAAACACTTATTTGTTTTGCAAGAAAGGCAATGCAGACATTCCCAAAGGCAAGCAGAAAGCAAACCATGGCTGATGAAACATTTTTAGCTTTTCGTTGAGATTAAAGAGGAATGAGAGCGACCGTTATTTCTCTATCAAGGGAATGGCAGACTTGCTGGGGTAGTCTGCGTGAAATTGGTTCAGTTTCACCATGGAAATGGCATCTTATCGTTAGAAAAGCTGCTTTCTCCTCTGGATTTATAGGCTGACCTGAAAGAGAAAGACAAATAACCCTTTCATCTTTAAAAACTGCTGAAATGAAAAGACCCTTAAGGAGACTGAGATGGAAAAAAAAACACTTATTTTCTCTTGCATAGGCTTGAAGGTCACAAGTAAAATGAGTTTTAGTTGATCATGACTGACTACACTGGATAGCTTTCCCTAAGTAAGCCAGTATACCCTGACTTAGTAGTTTCAATGGTTGGTATGTTACATAACCCTTAAATTCCTGTAAGAGTTTAACTGTGTCCATTTGTTTTGTTTGCTGATGCTTTAGCAGCTTCTACTGTAATCTAATACTGAAAAGCAAGCATTCGTAATACAGTATTTCCTTGAATTAAGAAAAATGCAAAAAAAATAAAGTCACTTCCCTTTCTTCCACTTGTTAACTCTGATGAGAGGCTGCCCAGTCTCACTTGTCACCAGGAAAAATGAGTCTTTGATGCCTTTTCTCCTTGGTAAGGGTTATATGAATAATAATAATAATTGCTTACACTTATATAGCGCTTTTCTGGACACTCCACTCAAAGGGATTTACAGGTAATGGGGACTCCTCTCCACCACCACCAGTGTGCAGCCCCACCTGGATGATGCGACGGTAGCCATAGTGCACCAGAACGCTCACCACACATCAGCTATCAGTGGGGAGGAGAGCAGAGTAATGAAGCCAATTCATAGACGGGGATTATTAGGAGGCCATGATTGATAAGGGCCAATGGGAAATTTGGCCAGGACGCCGGGGTTACACCCCTACTCTTTTCGAGAAACGCCCTGGGATTTTTAATGACCACAGAGAGTCAGGACCTCGGTCTTACATCTCATCCGAAGGACAGATGAGAATCTCCAAAGGGAAGGAGTAGAGTGACTCATCATTTGTGAAAGTGGCTGTTAAAGGGGACAGATGTCTTGATTGAAGTCTTGTACATATGGATACATTCATGTAAGTATTGTGAGGACCCCTAGATGATATGTCCCTCAGTTCCCCTTTTCAAAATGTTTGAATTTGCATTATTTCATTTGTTTAGTTGTGTGTTTTCCCTTTAAAGAGACATACTGAGGCATCTCTTCACAGTATGACTTGCTAGCTCAGGGAATGTGTGCTGTTCTTTAAGATCACACTGTTACTTACTCTTTAATAAACCAAGCTGGAGGCTATTATCGAGTAACCTTGAATAACAAAGGCCAAGGATCTTGTTCCACTGCCAACGGCAAATTTGTTATCCTGTAAATTATGACTGGGTTCATCTTAAGTGGCAACTCTTTTCGCTCACCTGCCAGCTCAACAAATTCTAGATAGAGAAATTGTTAAATTGATAAAGGCATTGTTAGCACTCGAAAGTCTAACAGCTATTTCTGTTCACTGTTTTGCATATTTAGCACTAAAAGAGACATGAAAGGGAGGAAGGAAGAAGACAGGTGGAATGAAAAGAGATGTAGTGATTTGTGTGGTTTTAAGAAGGTGCCTTCTAAAATGAAAAGTGATTGAGGGGGTGAGAGACTACTTTCAGTTTTATGCATTTTTCACTGTAGGGTACAACAGGGCCCTACTGTATTTACTGATGTTTGAGTGGAGATAGGAATTGTTAAAATCGCAAACAGAGACAGCTGAATTGGATTTGGTTCCCTGTGTGTAATTTTAAAAGCACCTCCTGTTCATGACTGCCTCCAATATTAGCTTGGTTTTTGTGGAGTTTTTTTTTTTCCTTGAGTCATTCTTTATTCTTATGATTAACTAAACATAAAGCACTACTGTTGGTGGTTAGGTTACAACCGAGTGTCTTTTCCAGTCTGTTTAGATGACTGACCTACCCATGAAACACCAGTTTTGTGAGGATCATAATTCTCTGAGTTCTCCATAATGAAACTCTTAGTTTTTATTTGTTTTAGTGTTGGTATTTTAGTACTGTAACTTTAATTCAGTTGATGTTTAGGCAAAAAGGGATTCATGCTGTTTTGTGGTTTGTTGATGTGAAAAGCTAGTTCTGTCCTTGTTTAAATACTTCTACAGGGTGATAGCACGTTTAGGCCCTGTATTGTTTCAGTTAAGCATTTCAAAGATTGGTGGTAATGAAAAAACCTGTCTGGCAAGCCAACTTTGCCCTTCACTGCTACAGAGGACAAGACATGTCCTGATAACTCCAACATTCCTGCCTTGTCTTGGTTACACTGTGAGCTTGCTGATTAGAGTATTTAATCTTCCGGCCTTCCAATGTAATAGACAGTCTGACAACACATACTATTTTATAGTAAGGGTTTTCTGAATTGTATTGTTTTCAAATATTACAGAGCAGCAGAGACTAAAAATCTAAAAAACATGAAATGGTGTCGTGTAACAAATCAGTGAAATATTTTAAACATCTCTATGAATGATTCAATAACAAAAACCCTTTTTAAGTGCAAAACTATTGTCAGTTCAGGCAGTATTAAATGCTAATAAGAGAGCATTGTGTTATACAAAAAAAACCTATATAGTGACAAATGACAGTATGAATTGTATATACAAGAATGTATTTAGAATTCAAGGGCTAGAATGTTAGGTTTTGTTTTTGGTAAATAGTATTTCTATACAAATGGGTATTTTTATACAGTGATTGTGTGTTTTCCCAAATCAGCTATATTTGTTATGCTTTGTTTCACTAGACAGACAAAAACAAAAATATTTAGGTTTTCTTTTGGTTTCAAAGATTGCATTTGCATTAAAAAAGTCTGGTTTTTACAGAAAGTATCAATGTAAGACACTAAGTAGGTAGTCAACAGCCACCTCTCTGTTGATAGCAAGTGAGGTAATTGTGTTGGAAGTTGATTGATTCCAGGTGTAGGCAGTAGGGAAGAAGATAAATGGGTTCTATAGACAATGCGTTTGTAACTAACTTCCACTGAAATATAGCAGTATGAAGACCTCAGTGCTGGAGCAATAAAACTCCAAGAGGGGAAACACAAGCTGTGGGATCTTTTAGTCTAACAGACAACAGAGCCTTTGAATTTTACACTCCCAGCTCATAAAAAAACAAAACAAGCTTTTCTGTAGAGTGCTCCTGCTGAGATTACATGCAGATGGCACAGCTCTGATTGAAATCTGTCAGATGAAAGCTTGATAACCAGTTCTGTCTTCTCATATCTACACATCTGAACTGTATTAGCTTGGGGCTTTGTTCTCATCTCACAAATTGACCTGTAGCTGAGCTGCACCAATCCATCCAGCCCTTTGGTTCTTTTCTGTGTGACTGGATCCAAGCAGCTTCCAGATGTTTCATCAAAAGCTTCAAGAATCCAGGGTCACTCATCACATGTGTTTGCATAAATACAGAAGTTTGGACAGTTTCTGTTGTTTTGCTCTGTCTACCTTAACACAAGTCTCGGTTTTCAAAGTGTATTGTTGAATCTGTAACTCAGCATGCACATGTGTTTTATCAGTGTTTTCTTTCATTTCCTACGTGGATCAGCACTTTTTGCATTTATTTTCTTTTGCTTTATTAGATTATGTGACACAGAATAACTGTCTGAACATTTTCAGGCAAGATGTTCAAATCCCTGGACCTTTCCCTGATCGTGGAGTTCATGCTGATGTTCTACAAGGACAAGCCCATCGACTGGCTGCTTGACCATATCCTGTGGGTGAAAGTGTGCAACCCAGAGAAAGATGCAGTGAGTACCTGAGCACAAGTGGATGGGGGCCAGAGCCTGAATTCTAAAACAAACCTGTCAGCACAAGGAATATCGTTTTGTTTTCCTTTTTAGCTATGGTTAAAGAAGGAGGTAGGAATGAAGCAAATCAATTTCTCCGTTTCAGTGAGCTGTTTGAGCAGGATAGAAAAGTTGCTTGGTTTAGATTCTTAGGCTTCTGGGCTTGGAATCCTATAAGGAAATGTAAGGATTTTTCTTTTTCTTTTTTTTTTCTTCTTAAAATATCAGACCGAGATATTTTTTAGACAGAGGTCTCATGTGGCTTGACACTTAGCTGATGTAGTGGCACACACAAGGCAATTGATAATGTGACAAAAAAAAAACTGTGGCCCTGCGTCCCCCGAGATGGAGGTCTGACTCGCACATTCTAACATCTATATCTAAAATTCTCTTTTTGGGACTGCTACACGAGCTGAATTGCAGTTCCTGAGATAACTTAAGGTCCATTCACATTGAAATGCTTGCCCATATGCAAACGTCTGTTCTAAAACAGACCAATTAACTTCAAACTCGACAGAGTTAGAATCACCCCTTACTTTATTTGTTAAAGTGTTGGTATCGCCCAAAAGACACGACATCTTTTGTGTCTCGGCTCACGGCGACACGACCTTAACGCAGGCAAGAACGAGGAAGTGTAGACAAACACATCCAACCTGCCCACCTTCATGCCGCTTGTCTTTCAAAACACCACAGGCACCTGGGCTCCATGCTGGAGATGAAGCGCTGATTGGATAAGCAAATGCCAGGCAGGCAGCAGGGAGTGTTGTGTTGCCAAGAGAGCCTGGCTGATTATTCTCCCCCTACCCTAAGGTGGTGTTCAGACAGTTCTGAGTTACCTGGACAGGCTGCAGAATAGAAAAAAAGGAGAGTACAGCATAAGAAGGAATTCAAAAGAAAGATCTTATCCTGTTTTCTCTGTGACTCCCTTAGAAACACTGCGACAGACAGAAGGCTAACCTGCGGATTCGCTTCAAGCCGTCTCTCTTCCAGCATGTGGGAACTCACTCTTCACTCGCTGGGAAGATCCAGAAGCTGAAGGTTAGTCAAAGCAGCGATTCACTGCATCTGCATTTCCTTTTTCTTTTCTCGGCTCCTTGGGAATCCCGTTAAGACCCAATCTGAGAAGTTCTGAATGGCAAAGAAATCACAAAACCATTTATTTCACAAATTCTGTCCAAGACACACTTCACACAGAGGACGTCTGTAACAGAAACAATTACATATGATTCCACAAAAATGACATACAGGTGTTAAGGCATTCAGTAATGAGTCTTATCTTAAGAAATTAAGATAACATTAGGCACTCCAGACATGATTTAAAGAAAAGGATTGAATCCTTGAATTTTTATCTTAGAATGCATTTCTTTTAATGAAAATGTAATTTACAGGAAGCAAAGTTGTTTTACATTCTGGTCATTAATCAAATGTTTATTGATTTTACCTCTGTAAGGTAAGATGGAATTTCATAAGCTAGGTATTGGCTCCCCTGTGTGGTGGAATTATGCACAATGAATGAATATGTTCCAGGACAAAGACTTTGGGAAGCAAACTCTTCACAAAGGTCATGCCAACCCCCCTGCTGAGGTGACCACCAGTCTCAAGACCTACCAGCACTTCACTCTGGAGAAGGCCTACCTGGGAGAGGACTTCTTCTGGGCATTCACCCCTGTGGCCGGAGACTTCATCCGCATTCGTTTCTTCACGCCAGTGCGCATCGAGAAGTGAGTATTTCACTGTAAAGGAACAATAGGTTTATTCCATGCTGAAAAAAAGAAGAAAGAGAACACAACGTTTCGGCCATGGAGCCTTCTTCAGGTGTGTCAGGTGTGTTTTACTGTGTTTCTCACCTTTACAGCTCCCAGAAACTGCCTGCAGAAACACGTTGCAGGCTTAATTTAGCCTTAACACTTGTGGAACTTCAACCAATTAACGGTTCTTTACATCTTTACACCTTTCTGTCACAAATTACTGAGCAAAAAAAGTACCTCTACCCTGTATCTCCTCACACATTCTAGGCATCGAAGGTAAATTATCTGCCCCTTTATTCACAATAATCTAAATTATCATGCTCTGTTGTTTTTGTTGTCTGGTACAGAGCACAAGCTCGGTGGGATTCATTATAGACTGTAAAGTTTCATTCTTCTTCTGCTCCCTGTAGGTACTTCTTCCGCAGTGGAAACATAGAACACCCAGGGGACAAGCTCTTCAACACCACTATAGAGGTTCTGCCATTTGATGTGAGTTGGCAACAACCATGTAGAGCAGAAATGCAGGATTTCAGCCTCATAGGTTTCTCTAAGCTTTGCGCCTTTGACTGGTCTAGTCACCTGACTCCTTCTGAATTTGTAAGCTTTCAACTCTAATAACCCCCCACAGTCACTAGTAAAAGTAGTCTGCGTAAACATATCTCACATTTGTCAAGACCTGTATTTTTACCCGATCTGTGTAACCAGACCACCAACTTTGCTGGTTTGACCCAACAAACCATTATGGAAAGCATGTGAAAAAGTGGAATGGAGATAATATACCATCCTCTTTATTGCCACATAAATCACCACAATAACACTATGCAGGCAGAATTAAAAGAATGCATTTATTCATCATTATTCAGTTGCTGATTACTGGTAGCACCTACAGCATGGTGTGAGCACATACAAGGTTATGTGTAAAGATACAATAAACCACTACCCATTTTAAAACATATTTCATTACTTCGCTTCAGAGGAAAACAGTGGCACTCCAGAGACATGTTGATATTTGTAGGTTTTTTACTTTTGCTATCTTATCCCCATGTATACTGAACAAATTTCTGTATTAGATAAAAGCAGCCCTTGATGTCTGTGTGCATATGCCCAAATACGACCAAATTATTCATTATTCAGTTTCATTGATGAAGTCAAATCAGGCTTCTCTTTGCAATAATTACAAATGATTACAAATAATTACAAAAAGAAGATGTAATAAAATTTGGTGAGGTCAGTTTGCAACAAAAAGATTATTAGTATAATTTTCAAATGAAATATTTTGCACTTGAGTTGTTTTCCTCTAGTTGGAAAACTGGACTGGTCTGTAGTTACTTTTGGAAATCACATTGCAAAGTTCTTGAAATAGCTTCAAACATTATTTTGTATTTCAATGCAATTGGAAGCTTTGTACTTTATCAAAAGGGTTGCAACTGTTGCAATTCCAAAATGTATCATTCAAAACGGATAACAAGAAAAGAAAGTAGTTTTAAATCTGATGTAATAGCTGTTATTACTGTTTAAAAACCACTGTATAACAACTGTGAGTCTTATACTTTAGGTAGTAGTACAATACTTAACTTAGTGTGCTTACTATGCTTGTTTCCTACAAAGTAAAGTGGAAATTACATTCAAGTGTTTGATAATAAGCATATGGTAAAAAACACTGTTTGGTCTAACATAAAGCCAAAATAGTGATTCTTAAACTGAGTTTTGCGAACATTGAAATTTTAAAAGTGAATAGAAAACAAAATGAAAACTGCAATCTTTAGGGGCAGGAAGCAAACAAAACTGTCTAACAAATTATTAGTTAAGTCAAAATACAAAAACTCCAGTTTAAAAGAAAACCAGGTGACACCGGGGTTATTGGTACCAGGATTAATAAACCCTTACATACAGTAGCAAAAATGTGGCTTTGGAATAAGATCCTGCAACACAATTGTTCTAAAGCATTCTGGACCCCTAATGTGTCTGTTCCCAGAATGTACAATCTGAGAAAGAGGCTCTGAAAGATGGAAGGGAGAAAACACCTAAGTACCACAGAACTGAAGATGGTTTTATCAGAATTGGTAAGTCCAGTTTTTTTTCTAGAGATACTGTTTTTAAAAGTTCATATTTCCCCACATACACACAAATCATGATGTTTAAACTAATGATGATAACAACCATTTTTTCTCTTAAAAAGATTAACATAAAGGATGAAGCCTATTCTAATGTGAAAGTTATTCACCAGTCTGTATTCTGTGTATGTTTATTGTCAATATTCAATCTAAATTACAGATTGTTGTAATTATGTACATTCTGCTGCTGCATGATTATGAAATCTTCTATTGCATGGTACATTGTCATGCAATAGCAGATTTCATGATCACTTCTATATATAGATTTCACCTATATAAAACAGATCAACTTTGTTACCTCTACCTGTAGCTTTTTGTCATAAACCATTAAGAATGTTGCTATGGCAACCCTTAACCACTTACAGTATTAAAAACAATCATTTAAAAAAAATTACTCAAATTCCTTTTAAAGCTCCTTATGTTGAAAGTGTTGTATGAGTAATAATCTGGACTGTTTTCTTTTAAAATAGAAGAATGCATGCAGAATAACCCTTGGTATAAGGCAATATTCTGACATTATCTAGATAATGTTATACTCCCATAAGGAATCAGGATACATTTGGAAAAATGTTACATTATTCTTGGCTGCGGGCATCCTATTATTCAACTAATAATAAAAATGGAGTTGCTAAAGGCTGGTTCTAAATGTGCACAACAGACATTAACAGAGAGAGAGATCCAAAAGACTACAGTCATTACAATTCATCTTAAATTAACAGAAACACTCAGCTGTTTATTAAGTGAAAAGGAGAAAACAACTTGGTTGAATATTGACTCGTGTGTATACAGTGACTGAAATAAATTTTGATAAGCAAGTAGAAGCAAAAATAAAAACATTCATGTGAAAGAGAAGAGAACAAAATGTCTGAATCTTTTTTTCCATCAGGGAACTGAACCCAGTGGTTGTTTAGTGTGGATAAAATTGAAAAACAAATCCAATAGCCTCAGAATTTTGATGTTTCATTTTTTTTTTCAATTAAGGGTACATTAGGGAATTAATGCAAGTTTAAAATAAACCTTCAGGAGGATTCAAAACCTTCTGTACAAATACAAACATCCCTCTACGTCATACAAAAATATCTTAGTGTTTTGACTCTTCCATACCTGTTTTTAATATTTATAAGGGTTGTCTTCATTTAGGTTTTGCAGTTACGTCCTGGAGACAGAGTATTTTCTGTTCTGAGCAAAAGCAGAATTGAATATCACCCTTGGTTCTCTCCAAATGAGTCAGTACTTAAGTGTGAGTAATATCAGAATGGGAAGCCTTTTGTAGCAGCAACAGTTCCTTTCAGTTATTTTACAGTTTTTACCTAAGCTTACCACATGGTCTGCTCAGGTAGGAGAGGTAAGAGATTCTCAGTCAGAGGCTTTGTAAGCCTCTCTGTCACCCTGCCTTGCTGATGTCTCTGCTGTGACACTAGAGACACTACGAAAGTAGAGTAGACACTCACAGATCCTTTACACACCCCATGTTAGTGGGTAGTTTGTTCTTATTTATTCTTTTGTAGTCAGGGATTACTTGCGAGTGGACATGTATGTGGCCTCTGAGTAAATGTATATGATAATGCATTTTGCTTTAAAATTGGATATTTTTGTTTTCGGATTTCCACATTGATGATGTGTCAAACCATACCCCTGGAGAGCCCCAGTGTAGGAGGTTTTTGTTACATGCTGGACTAGGAACAACAGCACAAGTCGTTACGTCGACAGAAAATCTGGCACTGCAGTACTAAAATTTGCTTTTGTCTGCAAACAAAAATAAAAAGGGAAATAAACTACTTTTTTTCAAAGGTGGAACAGCCTATGATCTCTAACAATGGTTTAATTCAGCTCACTTTCTACCACTTTCTGTTTGGCCCATTGTCTTTGAATGAGACAGAATTCATCCAGTCACAGTTTTATAGGTTGTTTAATAAAGTCTGCAACTTCTAAAGACCTAGAATAATTAGACTGTGATGAATTAAATAGGTCATTTTAAACAGGTAGTGAATTAATTTAGGGATAATTTGGTTCAAAAATTAAATTACCCTTTAGCCCATAGCACTAGAGTTCTCTTAACTGTGCAATGACTTGCTTAATTGATTCCTCAAGTCCAAGTGTTCCTAATATTAAAAAAACAGGGTGATTCAGAGTGACCTATAAGACTAAATGGATCAAAGTTCTACTGCACTTACTAAGGAGTAGTAAAGTGGGAATGCAACTGTAAACAACAACAACAACTACAACAACAACAATAATAATCATATCTTACACTTTTTTTGGACACTTCACTCAAAAGGCTTTACAGGTAATAGGGAATCCCCTCCACCACCACACATCAGTCGGGAGGAGAACAGAGTAATGAAGCCAATTGATAGATGGGGATTATTAGTAGACCATGATTGGTAAAGGCCAGGACACTGGGGTTACATCCCTGCAATTTTTGAGGAATGTCCTCGGATTTTTAATGGCCGCCGAGAGTCAGGACGTCGGTTTTAGGTTTCATCCAAAGGACGGTGCCTTTTTTACAGTATAGCCTCCCCATCACTATGCTGGGGCATTAGGACCCTGACAGACAGCAGCCTAAGCTTTCCCAGGAGGTCTCCCATCCAGATACTGACCAGGCTCACACTTGCTCAGCTTCAATGGGCTGACAGTTGCCAGTCGCAGGGTGATATAGCTGCTGGCTATGCTGGATAAACACATTATGGTGGTAGGCTACTATTCTGTAGTCAGCCCTTGTGTATAACTAAGAAATGAAATTGAAATTTGCAAGTATATTTGTATGTCAAAAATAAAAGTGTTTTTTATTTGTTGTGTTTTACAATACATTGCATACCAATTGTCTCGGTGTGTTTAAGGAATATTTCCATGCGGCTTTCGCCTGCCTCCTCTAAAACATGGATGTCGGCAACCTTTCTCAAGGACATTTTTTCTCAAGGACATCTTGGGGGCTGCATAGCCAAGCCTTTTACCAGTCCTCACATGTCATTTTCTTTTCTGTGGGCTCATAATAACAATATTAAGGGCTCATCGGGGCATACAACTCGCATCAGTGTAATTTATACGGGAAGCATAAACAAACTCATTGCTCTTGAAAATTGCAATATGGATTCTCCCTTTGAGTCCCGGTTCATTAACAGAATCAGATGCAGCTCCCGCACGGTTCTCATGCGTGAAGCCATTTCAGAGACTCTGCGATATCCTCTTTATTTCAAATTTGATGCCTTTTCTGTTCTGATCTTTTGTGGCATGTATATGGCAGATAATCCTGCAGATGCCAGCAGGGATAAAGAATGCGACAGAATCAGTATGATATCACTGTCATTTCCCCAGACACGGTTTTGCACTCAATCGAGGTATTACCAACCTGATTTGAGGCCACAGCGGAATCATATTAACTTGATTTGAAATGGAGTGGATGTGATTAAAAGTAGCCCCATACAATTACCTGTGTTACTGCAATGACAAAAATGTAATGTAATGTCATTTGCTTACAGAAATACAAAAGGGGCTCAAGTTGATCTGTGCTGATATATTGGACGTACTGTAGATTGGCCTCACCTTGCAGGCATGACTAGACAATGCCCAGTTGTGTCTTACAGGGACTTTCTTGAATGGAATTGCTGAGGGTGAGGTGGACGCCTCCTTTGGGCCTCTGGAGGCCATCCGTCTGTCTGTACTGACCGACTCCCCAGTCTGGGTTATCCTTAGTGAGGTAGGTCTGTCAGCCTGCTTGTCTCTGGCTATATATAACAGTAAATGCATGACACAGCACTGAAACAAAAGCAGACCAGTCGGCAGCTCAGACTGGTTTCTAAAAACAACTCCTTCTGCAGATTTCACTCTGGTGACGTGCTGTGTAACTTTTCCACATCCTTCAGCCTAAAAGGGATTTGCCTGCTGGCTTAGGTCTGCAATCTGGCCTGAAATGCAATTTCTTGATAAGAACTAGGTCTGCCATGTCATGTAAAAAGGTACAAGGGGCTTTGATGAAAATTACATGGAACGTACAGAACATTTTTGTAAAACTCCCAGCAGAGGTTGATATTCTGATGGCCATGTTATGATGTGACAGAAAATGCATTTGTTGCTTTGTTTTTATTCAGAATCCAAACTACTTGAAAACAAGTAGTTTTATTCATAGTTATATTGATTTAAGAGAGCCACATTTAGAAACAGGTACATTACTGTGGTAATGTGGTAATATATGGTAAATAATTTCAGACTTCTGTAAAGACAGCTAAATAACTGCTTTCTTCTCTAAGGTCAGTCTTTCTTACCCTGAGATTTACAAGACAAGGAATAGAGTGGGCTGTGAAAGCAAAGTCTTAAAAATAGTCGAACCAAAAAGCATTACTTGCCTAGGATGACAGTGCTGTGCTTGCTCTGCTTTCTCTTTTTCCACCTTTCCTGAATGCTTAAAATGAATGACCCTTAACGAAAAATGCATTTCTTAAATATGGTATTGGAAAAACCTGAAAATAATGGCTTTTATCTTTCTTTGCCTGTTTCAGATATTCATTAAGAAAGCTGAGTGACACCAGCCAAATACCTCTAGAGTTCACAGACCCTTCCATGGAGGATGGGAGTCTTTGCAGCTAGTCAATTGAAATCTTCAGTAACTAGTATCTCTAGTGTGGTGTGAGTACTCCCCCTGCTGGCCAGAAGGTGGCTAGCAGGATGAGCTGGTACTGCCAGCTAAATATGTGAGGACCTGCCAGACTTGTAAAACAAAGACACAAGGAAGAAGAAGCTGTATTTTATAAGCTGTAATTATGTGTATATAGGTTTATGTTCTGAATAATTGTATTTACACTGGTGATATGGATGGGCTTGCTGGATTGCTTGCCCAATAAAAAAGTAAAATGCTGCTTCAGAATGGAAGACTTTACACAGTGTAACCCAGGTTACCCACTGACTAAAAATTGATTGCATTGCCTTTAAAAATGAAACCTTTAACTGTTAAATTATGTAAGATTATATAAAAAAGTGCTGTTGTTTTTTTTGCCAAAATTTAATTTAATTATTTTTATTTATGATTTTTTAACTAGATATACATACATAAATTAAAATAAATCTTCCACCGTAAACCCCCTCACTGCCAGATGATATTTAGAAAATTAAAAGCCCTTCGAAATAAGGTCTGAATGCTTGCACTCTTAACATCAGATTTTTTTACATGGCTAGTTTATAAAGACCTTTTCAAATACCATTGTTAAAATGTTTCTTATCTTATTCTTCACTAATAGGTTTTTTTGTGAATGGAAGCATTGTGGATGTTGTCTTTTATCCATTTTAAATTTGCCTTAATACAACATGAACTCAGAGCTGCATCAACTAACTAAATAATACAACAACATACAGATTCAGACCCTAAAGCACCTTTAATTCCTATTGAGGAAATGCTGTTTACAGATAAAAGTACATATCATTTTAGGAGCTGCAGGCATGTTTGAGTGTTTTCCAAATTTATTTTGCTTTATTACTGGCTGGTATAACAGAAAAGACATTAAAGGTATCATATTGAATATCACATGCTGTAGATAATGATTAAATACATCTTTAAGATGTAAATTGTTCAGGTCTAAAATTAATAGATATAGTAAAAACAGATATTTGGAGTTTAAGAAAGTGAATGTCAAAGTTTCACACACAACACACAAAATAAAATGTTATTAATATATCCGGTGTTCCAAAGGGTGTGGGTGGTCGTGTTGCGTGTCTGGCACAGAAACATTGGTATTGGTCACAGTCTCAAGACTTAAAGCTGCATATCAGGTTTGTTCCCTTAAACCAGAATTTTTTACTTTCAAATTTTAGTAAAATAAGCCTGAGAGATGAGCAGGTTTGCAGGAGCACACCTGGGTAAGTGCACTTCCTATTAAATACAGTAGCAGCATCAGTGGATGTGTTTTAAAATGTCTAGAGGCAGCCAAAGGCACAGTGTAGAGGCGGCACCCACATATATCTCTAGGGGTCAACCTTCAGTCGAAGACATGATTGCTTATTCAACTACAAAATAAATTAAAATTGTAAAATTGGTTCGTAAATGCTTTTAATACTGCTTACAGCAAAATTGAGGAAATCATAGAAGAAAGTAAGCAGTTCTGTCTTCTTGTTAATTGCATTGGTGGAGACATTCTTCTTGCAATTCACCTGTAATTAAGCAGTCTTTTAAACAACATATTTTGTCAGGACAATACATTCCACAACCATGTCAAAAATAACTTTCCTCTCAGAGGATGCTTTTGTTTTTGGAACAATTTTGTCTGTATTGCTACATAGAGGGTAATGTTTGCTTACAAAACTGGGAATCAAGCAAATAAACACATACTCTGGGGCTTCAGACCAGCACAACCAGTAAAGATGCAGGCTCAAAGTACTGAGTGGGATCATAGGTCCAGCTTTGACCAGATGACCTTATTAGTCAATTTTGACTGGACTACCCAATCAGCAGCGTGCAACTGGCAGAACTTTAGGGGATTAGTGTTTCCTTGACTTGCCTCACAACAACAACTCCTCGTACCCACCAGGATTCATATCAGTGAGAAACACATCCCACCTCCTGCAAGCACTCACCTACTCATTCTGCCTTAAGGCACTGTGAAGTTTGGAACTTGCAAAAAAGACAAATAGCTCTAAACACAGGTGATTCCAGCCTGGAGGGGGTTAAATAAATTAGAAAACTGTTGTGGATTTCAAATTAAAAATAAAATCCAACAAATATTTGTGGTTATTTTAGAATTTTTGATTTGAAGTTTTGATGGACTATAAACCTTGTAGGATTTAATGCTTAAACCTGCTTGACAATGCATTTGGCCTGAAGAACCAGAATGATTGCTCTTAATAAATAAAAGCCCACAACACTGCCATTTTCTTTTTAAAGAAGGTTTTTTAAATAGATTTTTAGTGACTTAGAGAATAATATGTTCTCCAAAGGGTGCTTTATCTTCTTACTAACTTTTTGCACAACTGAAAATACAACTCCCATTTGACATCTTGATAGCTGTTCAGTAGGTTGTAACAATAAGGGTGTTTTTCAGGTTTTTAAAGTGCTGAAGCGTTATGTATCAACTTTTCTTTTTTCACATAGAGACAAGGAGCAGTACCACTGCGTTTTTGAATGTATAACTGGAAAAGGCTTTGCAAATAAAAAGAAGCTCCATTAACTGGGAACATTTAACAAATTCTCATTAAGATCCTTCCACTCAGCAAACTATAATATTTTGCCATTGCCTTGACTGCCAGTGAGACAAAGGGAAAACGGGAGTTGAGAAACTTTTTGGAAAAAAAAACATAAATTAAAACCTAGAACTAAATTGTGAACTTTTATTAATAGTGTTAACAATAAACTTTATTTTATTTAGCACTTTAAAGGCAATAATCTCAAAGCACTTTTGAAGGTGCTGAATAAAATAAGGTTTATTATTAATAGTAGCTAAAATTCTCTTTTTCTGCTTTTCTCCAGCAAAATGGCTACAATGTGTATTTTTTTTTATGTCATATTTGTTGCATCCCATTGAGAGTGTGTTGACTTACCTTCTTGTTTTTCCTTTGTGAAGGGACAACGTTCTACTGAACATAACACTGCATTTAAAACGTGCCTCCTTTCTGACATTTTGATGTGAAGTCAAACAAAAAAAAACTTGGAAAAAATAAGTTTCCAAATGTATCAGAGATTAGGGTTGAGTATTGGGATTGGAGAACACAGAGATCTTGTATTCAATGTTGGAACACAAGGGAAAAAAGACAGTTACTGTTTTGTTACTTAAGAGTATGAAGGTAATTCATTTGCAGTACTCCTACATGCACTAAATTAGGATTTTTTTACATTTGGAAGAGTATTCCCTGCATATAATCTACATTTCCCGTTAACTGTTTCTGAGGTTATTGTTGTACTGGAGTTCATTCCATTGTTTTGGAGGGGGAGTTATTTGACATGTTTAACTAACAACCCCTACAGTATATGTTTTGAGATGAATGAGAAACCCCAGAGCCAAACTATAATGATGACAGTAATTATTTCACTCCCATCATGATGGTTTGCTTCTGGACTTAAAGATATAATCCAGCATTCAATCATTTTCCCCAGTCCCTGGGAGGAAGAAATTTGTCAGAATTTTTTAGCATGCCACAGAGCAAAGTAAGTAGATAGAAAAATAAAGATGTGTGCATTGAGTCTAAAAAAAATGTTTTAATTTATGTTAGAAATTGTTACTGCTTAGGACACGTGGATATGGATGGGTCACGTAAAAATATTAATCTCCTATTAATCTCCTATCCAAGAGATCCCAGACACTCTATAGTATAGGATTTTGAAATCATAAAAAAACCTTAGTATCTAAAATGTAAGACAGTGTAGCTCACTTACTTCAAATAATATTCTGTTTTGTTTTCGGGCTGGTATTTTAAGTAAACAATGTATAGTATAAGTAACTTGCTATGTAAAAGGAAGTGTGTTTTACGGTTTCCACTTTCGCTTCCGAAATTATTAATATCATCCTGAATTAAAGCACTTTGCATGAAAAAGATAATTGGACTAGGGAGAGTGGAAACATTGTCCGTAGTTGTTAATGGGAAATGTAGCCAGCAAGCTACTGCTTTCAAGGACACAATGATAACGTGGCATCTTATTAGACACACACAAGATACCATGGACCTGATGGATCTTTTTAAACATCATGGCCCTGTAATCCTATAAGGTTCTGTTTGATTTAATTTTAATTTTATTTTCTGTCTCTGAAGTCTCTCCTGACCTATGCACACTTTGATTTATCTGGCTACCCAATCTGCAATTCTTGAGCCTCTCAAGCTCAGTTTGAAGCCAAACTATATCGGTGCAGTTATCAATATATGAATTGTATTTTAACGAACGACTCGATTAGGATTTCCATATTGGTCTGTCTTTGGGTTTGGAAAGATTTTTCTCAGATCTTCTCCATTCTTTCAACGGCAAAGTAAATATCTTACTTTGTTCTTACGAGTTTTGGTCTGTGTATTGCATCACACTACAGTATATAAAAGTGGTTTTGCTCATTTTACTTTCATCATTAAAAATGGCTTTTGTGTGCTGAAAAAGAAGATACCAGTAAAATCTACCCATAATAAGCAAACTGCTTAGAAACTGCACCTTTAAAGCTAATTATTAAACCATCAATGAGTAAAAAGAAAATTTAACAATCGATTATATACATCCAGATTATATAAAGTCAGTCCATAGATGTGGTGAATGGCCTTGTCTGCTTTGTAAACTTTATTATTTCTCAGTGCTTGAATACTGAGTGATGAATGTATGTGATAAAGTTCCAAAATGAAGCTCAAAATCCTCAAAGAACATTCCACAAACTTGCCTTCCTCTTACAAAAATCTCCCAAAATTTGTAATAGTTCCCATGACACCGTATGGTATAAAGCGGTTTGGCAAATGACATGACGTGACATTTTTCATAGTATTAGGGAAAAAAATGTTTAGTTAGATGTTGATAATGAAACCTCTGAGGTGAATTTATTTCTTTGAGAATATACAGAAGACTTTCAGTCTGACACATCTAGCATTCTGGCAGCAAGGGGGTGAAAAATAAATCTCCTCAAGCTCTTGTTTTGCACTGGTGCTGAGCTTCGTGTTTCTGAAAGTGTGGCGGGGCCAATCAAATTGAGAGGAGCTGGAGATGAGATGGGAATCACCTGCAGAACAAAGGTGTGCATTTTATTCCCCCACAATCTCTTTTTCTGAGATGCACTGGAATGCATATTTATGATAATGTGTGTTGTATTTTGTATAATTTAGATAAACTATATTTCATGTTATCTTCTATCCAATTTGTGAATTGTAATAAAACAAACTGAAATCACAGAAAAGATTATTTTTTTCCTTTTCTTTGGAAGTTACAAACCCTCTCTCTGACTTTCTCTGAGATGGATGAAAATGTGGAATGCTTCTGTTCGGTGTACAGGCTCAGCAGCTGAAATCCCACAAACATGATTCAGAAGACAGGGGTTCCGCTCAGACTGTAAAGGTCAGTACAGCATAGTGTACTGGCAGTGTGTTCCACACTTTTCATATATTGTCACCATCCAATAAAGGCCAGATCTGGTCTTTTGCCATAACATTCCATATGAAACATATATTCCAGCTCTTCAGGAGCAACACTGTATATTTCTTCCAATGTGCCCAGCAGTGAAGGGTACAAAATTATTTTCTGTACTGGCAGACCTCCTCACTTGACATTGAGGTACCTATGCGTCTAAATATGTCACCTAAGGTAAGAGAGAAGAGGGAGGTTGCATGGAATAAAGTGTTGTGTGGCATAATTTTTATACGTTTATTTCTGAACTTGTAGATTTAGTCAATTTAAGTTTTGTATTGGTCCTCCATTTAAAGGTGCTATCTTAAAGTGTACATGGCTGGTGGCCCTGAAGTCAACAGCTAGAATGTAGGGTGACATCATACATTGTGAATAAAGATTATTACACGAGACATGAAAATTATTGACAGAGGGAGAAATGTTTTACATATACGTCGTGATGTACCACCGTGATGTACCATCGACAATCGTCCATAGCAAAGGTTTTGGCTCTACACATTTTGAAACATTCCCAGTTACTGATGATGGAAGATTGGAACACTATCAGAGTATTCTACACTAACCTAATAGTATGGAGGAGTGGTTAGGGCTCTAGGCTAAGGACTCTGGACTCAAAGAGTTCTGTTGTGCCCTTGAGCTACAAAACTCCTTCAGTAAAATCCAAGGTTGAATGAACAGAATGTGACTGGTTTTCAACAAAGTGTCATAACCTGTGCATTAGAGAATGTAAACGTAGAAATACCACACGTTTTTGTGTTCAATTTCACTTACCAAACATAAACATGTATTTCAGGATATAACTGTATATTTGCAGGATGGGAATATAAATGAGGATATGTAAAGATGACACATCTTTAAATAGAGTATGAATTCCCAGTGTTACATGCCAGTGTTTACTAATGTAAAGTATAAAAAATAAAGTTATATTTTACTTAGATTATTACTTATCATAATGATGATGACAATGATCAGATGGATGAAAAAAACTTGTGACCATTAGCGCTACACGAGCTGTCTATTAACACTGCTGGACCATTTCCTTTTCCTGCAAACTATGACATAGTCAGTCACATGAATGCAATGTGCTCCATTTAGATTTAAAACAATACTAAGAGCTTTTGATGCTTTCCCAGTGCCCTGTGGCTTTGGAGATCAATTAGTTTGTCATCAGCTAGTGTACGTCTCCCTGCCCTTTTAAATGTTAATTGGCTGCTGCAAATTAAACAGCCATTAAAGAAGCACTGAAGATCATTCTGAGCAAATTAGCAAAAGATATTCTATTGATTTGCCCGTTTTGTTTAATTCTTCGTGTAGCTCATGAATCGGTACCTGCAATTGAGCTTTTTCAGCATATTTATGGGAAAGCAAGCAAGTGATAGTAAATTATAACCTTGATTGTTTTATACATAGAATATGACTATAGTGTACAAAACAGTGCTAATAATCTTAAAAAGAATTAAAGTGAACAAGCATATTAACTGTTACACATGAGAGGTGGCCATTTTGCCCTTTGCTAATTCGTTTTGTTTTCCCCAATAATTGTTTTTTCAGGAGCTTACTGATCCAAAGATCTCTTCCAGCTGTTTCATGAATAAAGCCAGGGTGCCATAAATCAGCTTCGACATCAAGGCTGTGCAGCATGTTCTACTCTCCTACAAACTTTGTGTAAAGAAGGGCCTCCAGTTCTCGGATTTAAATACACCTGCCCATAGTTTCAAATGTTTAGCTTCACTGCATCAGCATGATACAACCTAAAAACAATATTGATCTTGATTTCATATATCGGCTAGATCACACGGACTTGGACTTAGGGTACCTCATTTGCATATTTTCAAACAATTGCATGGTATAGAAAATTGAGGTACTGGAAGGTCTACAGCATAAGTCAATTTTAAAAGCAGTTTTTGCTCAAGGTGTGTTTTATATTTATTTTGGTATTTTATTGCATTATACACGAACAAAAATACGTGATGTGTAACGTATTGTAAACATCTTTTTTACTTTTATCACGCGGGCATTTTCATTTACATTGGTCTTGCAAAATTTTTATATTAGATATTTACGATTAAACACAGTATAGACACTAAAATGTTGTATAAAAGTTTTCTGTACAAACATTTTGGACTTTTTGCTGCAACAGGTATATGAGAGAAGTTTATTTCAATTTTAAAAAACTGGATTTCTTTCATATGTTTTAAGTGTAATCTCGTCGCTATGCAGCCAAACTGGTTGCCACTACACAATCCTTCTAGTTTTTTCCTCCTGTTTCCTGTTTCTAATTGCGCCACAGAAATGACACCAACCAATCATTCTTCACTTCCTTCCGCTGGAGGACCAATCAGAGCCGTCCACGAGGTTCAGTTCTGACGAGGCGGTCTTTCGCAAAGATGGACAGGAGGAACACGCAATTATATATCGGAACTCTCCGAAACGCGTTGACAATTTGAGTTCAGGAGCCAATCATAGACGGGCATAGGAGGGGATTTGGTGTCAGAGTTCTTCATTGTAACTGACACGTGATTGTGCAGTAGTTCCAGGTAGTAACGTCTTATTGCTGGAGGTGAGTAAAATGAGATGAAAGATAATGTTAATGTTTGAAATTAGGGGGAACACTAACTCTATTGGGTAGCTGTAAAATAAAAGGCAAAAGGGTGACTTAAAAAGACTGCACAGCACGCCCTAGTCTTTTTTTTTTTGCATCTTTATGCGGTTCTTACTCTCGGGGGTCTAAGGATCTTGTCAGTTTGGGTGTCAGATGGCTCCGACCTCCCTCTAAGTAACAGTTTTTTTTTTTCGTTTTGGTTTTCTAATGTTCTCTATATCCTTTTTTTCCCCTGAATCGACATCGATAAATTCAGCTGAGAAAAAAAAAACTGTTTTTTTTTCTATCGTTAATACAAACGTGAAGTACAAGACGATCTCTTGTTTCCTGAGTAAATCATACGTGCCGGTGTTCGCAGCTGAATTTAGTTCGGGTGTGGGGGATGTGATCTTAAATATTTAGTGCAAACGCACATGGGCCTTAAGCAGACGCTCCCTAGCACTATTTCGACCTCGATATGGTAGAGCAGGTTCGAATTTAGCTTCGTGGGCGGCACGGCACGGGAGTTGGCATTGCTGCTTCATTGGTGAGTTTTTAGGCTGGGGGACCTTCTGTGTGGAGTTTGCGTGCCCTGATTGGGCTTGTTTGGGTTTTGTCCCTGTATATCCTTGTATATGCCCTGCGATGATGGACTGGCGTCCTGGCAGGGGTGTAGTCCCGCCTTGCGCTCTGGGCTTCCGGGACAGGCAGCGTGTTCATGGGGCTTTGAGCAGGGACTCCGCCGAGAATGAATGGCATCGACTTCGACTTGTGTCCTGGCTTGCGAATGGCGGTGCATAAAGTTAGAGAATGGAAATCTTAGAGAGAAAAAAACAAAGAAACTGTTCTGAGAGGGGTCTTGAAGAATAGTCCGTGATGATGGGGTGTTGCTGTTACTTCTATGAATATAAATTTAAAAAAAAAGCATGGACTTGTAGAAATTAGCTGTTCACCACATGACTTATCTTCCCGTTTCTACCCATCTGTCGGGAGGGCGATGTTAAACAGGGCTGACATCATTTTCCATACAAAACGATTGATCCAAAGGAAATGTTCAAACGCCGGAAATTTCCCCCGAGGTGACCTTTCCTGTCGTGCTTGCTTGAGCCAGACGTGTTTTTAACTGTCCTGGGAGAAATGAAACCAAAACACATTTTGGTATGTCAGAACAGGTGCCCGGGTTTTTTTTCTTCTTTTTCTTCTTAACCGTTACCATTTCGCGGGAGTTGCTCAACAAGGAGAGACCATTTTATGAAGTTTTTATTCAAACGTCCAAATTAAGGCCGCATTACCAGAATGCGAAGGAAGTGTTTAAAATATTTCGGTAGTCGCTTTCAATATTACGGGAAGGACATTTGCTGTCCTGTTTTGGGCGTTTCCTACACTGGGAGCCGTATCATAAAGACCTTTTCTTCGTCAGTCAGTGCATTGCTAAATTTGGCTTCAAGGTAACGTAGACACAAAAGGTTTTGCATATGGCCTGTTTTGTTTGTTGCCGTTTTTTTTTTTTAACCTTTTTTGGGCCCCGTTGTTGTTTTTTTTGCTTCCCTTTCCCCTTTATTTTTTTTCTCTTAATCATAGTACTATTTTAAAGTGTGTCGATGCAGTTACAATTGTAATTTCCATTCATAACATGGTTTTCTGTTTTGATATTGCGTACTTTCGTGAGAAATTGAAAGTGTAATTCAAATGTCAGTTAGCCTTAGAGCTCTGGGTGTCATCTATAGCTTTCCTGGCCAGTTAATATTGGGCTATTGACCGATTGGCATGTGTAACCTCAACTTGTCTTCTTTAAAACCTTCATTATATTATTTTCATCCTAGGGAATGCCCTCTTTTTGCTTTTCCCTGTCGCCTGATTTAGAGTGCAGGAAAACAGCTGTGTTTTGAGATAGGGTTACGGCACATGAGAAAACAAGAGAAACCCAATGACTGATTCCCACCCGCTGTTTTCTTCGCATGTGTGCATTTCTCTGGATGGCGGCTGATGTGATGTGTCTGAGAGAGGTCGTTCTGTACCGTAAGAAAGAAAGGCTTTGTCATTTTTTTTTGGTGCTCTAATAGTCGATTTAATGGAATCAAGTGTTACTTGGTTAGTGATATTTAAACAAATAGAATATTTTTCAGTGTAATTCCTGTTTTTGTCATCCGTCCTTTGTCCATCTTTTTAATTACAAAGTTGATTTAGGAGGTACTGATGGTTGGTGTTCTTGTATTCTAAGTCTGCAACTGGCTTTAATTTCCTTTTCTCCTATCATTTTTTTCCCCATATGTTTGTTGGAAATATGTGGACACACATACAAAATTTAAGTAGAAACAAATGCAGTACCTTTGCTGGTGGAAACCGCACAGGTGGGTTATTCTTGTACTGAATATACTTGCAATATTTCATTTTATAAATGCATTTACCTTTTGCTTTGTTATATTGAGAGATCCAAGGCAGCCTTTATTGTTTGACTATTTTTTTTAACATGTTTTTTTTTAAAGGAAAATGGGCTTGTCTGATATGCAGGGTGTACTGCGCAGCTGTTAAAAACCCTCAGATAAAAAAAAAATCAGAAAAAGCAGCTTTCCTGCCTGTGCCATATTTATGGAGGGTGATGACCATGAACCATTGAGGATCTTAAAGCAGGGCCTTCTTAAGTTTAACCACAGCGTACTAAAATACATAGGGAAGTTGAGATGGTTAAAACATGACATAACAGTTTTGGGCTTGTTTCTGTTTATAGTTGTATGCAGAGCTCTGTTCGACAGCTGCAGTCCCAGAAGCCTTTTCTCTAGTGGCTTGCCTGCCTCAGGCTGTTTGTTTTTGCACTGAGATGGTAAAAGGGACTGATTCAAACTGTAATTTTGCTCAGGGGAATTCATGATAGAACAGTTATTAAGTAGCAGGCAGGCATATCTGCTGAGTTGAATACATTTTAATTACATTTTAAGTTATTAATTTAAATCTCTGAGAATTTAATGGGATGAGGGGCTACTACAGTATGTATAGCCTGTATACTTTGGGCAGAGTCTGTTGGAATTCTGCAGGAAGGATATGATACCATTCTTCCCTAAGAAAGTCATTCAACTGACAACTGGTTGATGGTGATAGAAAACGCTATCCCAGGCATCACGTGAAAATCAGACATCATTCCCAAATCCCATAAGGGTCAACTGGGTTCAGATCTGGTGACTGAATAGGTCAGGAAGTATTGATAACAGCAGCGTCATGCTCACCAAACCAGTGGGCAACCACATGGTCTGTGGATGATAATGCTCCCGTCCTGGAAGATGCTCCTCCAGGCAGGAAAGAATTGGATGAAGATGATCACCTTGCACAATTGCATAGCGGTTAGCATTGCTTTTGCCTTCTCCGGGAAGGAGTTCACCCTGACCATGCCAAGAAAATGTGCTCCACAACATTACAGAACCACCTGGTACTCAGGGTTGTAGAGTTCATTAGTTTGGTGCCACACGTGAACACTTCTGTTTGTTGAGAGCATCATGAAGCATAATATAACTGACCACATGTTATTTCTCCACTGCTTGGTGGTCTATTTCCTGTGCTCTATGAACGCCAGACTTACAAACCTGCTGTCTGTGGGAACCTTGACAGATTATTTTTGGTGAAACTGGCTGCTTGTACCACAGTTTGAAGACTGTACTGTTGCTTTTCAGTCAGTTGACCTTGGGTTACGTCAAAATCGTGGAATATGTTTTTACTGTCTTTGTTGCTCTTTTCTCATGTTTCTATCTCGGATCTCCGTGCTGAGATCACCTTAGACACTCTTGCTCATGAAACATCAGCAGGTTGGGCTACATTGGTCTCTTAAGCTCCTGCCAAAGTGCTCGAGAATCGCCTCATTTCAAAAGAACTGAGGTCATGAGAACATGCTAGCCATAATTATGGGCAACCAGGCCTGTCCAGGTTTTTTAAACTTGACCCTAAGCATGCAAGGATGGTATTTGCTTAATTAACACTTGAGTCAAACCTATGTGGAAACCCTTGCTTTCTACATACTGAGTATATAACGTCACATTTACCAAGGTATTTCCATTTTTTTTAATGTCCACTACTTCCATCAATTTAATTCTTTGGAATCAAGTTGAACTAGGGCTGAGCGTGATAAGGCTAATTGGGCTTTTGCAGGAGATTTTTTTCAGTGTAATATATAAAATATTTTCATTATTATGCTAATACAGTTGCTATGATGATGTCTGGAAATCATTGGTTCTGAATGTGAAATGGTTTTTATGCAAATTGGTGCTCATCTTAGGTTAGAAGAGACTTGCTTTCTCTGGAAGTAAGTCTCTTTCTGATAATGTTTCTTAATCATTCCATAGGCCTGTTTACCCTCAGTTGTATAGTTTTCTCTTTTTTTTGTGTGTGCTACTCAGTCAACACATAGCTTATCTGAAAATACTGCATATTTCAGTTTTTTTAAGTAATAATACGGTTTTTAATTCACATTTTAATATTCTTAGGAGATTGTAAATTCACAGTATTTAGAGGGTAAAGGATAGCTATAGCATAATTGTCAATTCTGCATATGTTAATAAAATCCAAATGTACTTAAAAACTGCTTATAAAAATCACTAATTCTGAAATGCAGCTGAGCAAAGCGCAGTGTAAAAAATACAGATTGTTTTGTCAGTAACGTGGAATATTGTCTTGTTCTGCGAGCCTTTAGGTATGCTTCACTTTGCTGACAATTGCCTTAGCTTTTTCTTCAGCAATGCTTTTTTTGCAGTTTCACTTGCGGAAAGGGCAAACTTTTGTAGGAAAGTTCAATTCTCCCTGGTTTCTAACAGAGTGCTCAAGATCTTGGCTTAGCCAGTTGCTGGGTTTGACTCAAATCGCATGGTGATGAAAAGATCTGTGGTCCTTTTATCACGCCTTCAACTCCAAATCCTTTACTCGCTTCTTCATTAATCACTTGTTTTCCTTTGTACATAAGCCAAATGCATGCAGTCACCCCGTTTGCCTCTAAGAGTTAATATTTTGCTGCTTTTTGATGAAGGGTCTTGTTGGGTTATTAAAGCATGGTCCAATGTGTGATATTCTTGATAATCTTACATCTGCAAGACAGATGGAACCTGACTTTAATCTCAGCCTACAGCTCTAAACTGTGGGCCTTCAGGCACTGTTGGTGTTGGGATTCATTCAGGATGTCCCTGAGAAGAATTTAAAGTAAGTCCTTTAACTAGAAGAAAGATAAGAAACACTGATGCTGTGAGCTTAATTTTAAAATTAAATCATAATATGATGGATGCCATTTGTTGTTCTGGATGATAATTGCTTACATTTGTATAGTGCTTTTCTGGACACTCCACTCAAAGCGCTTTACAGGTAATGGGGACTCCCCACCACCACCACCAATGTGCATCCCCACCTGGATGATGCGACTGCAGCCATAGTGCGCTCACCACACACCAGCTCTCAGTGGACTTCTGGAATAAAATGCATGGGTTCTGAAGCAGCAAGGAACCTGTTGGTGTCTCAAAATGTTTTTTAATTTCGGCAACACGATAGCAGGTTATCGTTAAAATAATAGAAACCTTGGTGTTACTTTTAACTCTTTTTATTTGAAGAAACTTAATATCAAGTTTCTTTATTCCACTTGCTAAGTATTGATCGATAGATCTTCGCACTGCCTTTCTGATGCTAAAGTAGCTTTTTAACTTTAATTTATCAAGTTTAAAATACTGTAATGCCTTATCTACCAGTGTATGTACTAGAGTCTTCAGTATGTGTGTGGTACTGCACAGTATGTTTAGTTAGCATTGCCATTATGTGCAGATTGGATTGGCTCCCTATGTAATTCAGAGTGGAGCTTATGGTTCTTCTAATTATGCGATTGTGACAATGTGTGTGGTCTTGCTCCAGATTATTTTAAGGATTTGTTAAATGAGTGTAGTCTAACTTGTAATCTGAGATCTGCTGATTCAGGCCTTGTTGTGCTGCTGAAGACTATGATCCACACAACAGAAGATAGAGCCTCTTCGTCCTGAGCCCCAGGCGTGCGGAACTCGTTACCTAAACCTTTCAGAAACAGTCTACGTTCTTAAAACGCAAAAGGCCTCATGTTTTCATCCCAGTTTTTGCATGTGCTTTTTCCAGCAAACACTTAATAGATGATAAAACATGCACTGTTGGTTCTTGTAACACAGTTATTAATTCAATAGAAAAGTCAGTGACATTAGACTGTCACCACCAAATATTTTGGCTGCTGGTGGCATTGTTTGTTGTGAAGATGTGGCCCAGTGAAAGCATTAAATTGTTGGTGAGAACACAAACAAGATACAGTAGTTGTGTAGCTGCCTGGCTGTTGTAATTGCAGTGAGAGCAGGTCTGTGTGCTTAGATCGTAATCTCATTGGGCTTTAATCTCATTAGGAAAACAGGCTGAGGCTGCAGATCCCAGGGACTGTGTTGTCATGGTGACCAGAGGTAGTGGGGGGCCTGGGATAACATTTTCTGTGTACCAACCAACACCAGCCTTTTCTTCCTGTGAGTGGGGAGGGTGGTGATGTGACTGTTTTTGTAAAGGTTTTTTTAGGAGGAGGGGCCTTGGGGGATTGAATGCAGCACCCGAAATTGTGAGGAGCCAAGAACTCTATGGCTGCGATTCAGTGTCCATTCTTAGATCAGACCGTGTGCCAGGATCCGTCTCTCTGCTTGGGTGTGTTCCCTCACTCCACCCTCCGTCATGGCTTCTCTCCCTCCCTTTCCACAGACTATGGAGCTTAAGTGGAGGCTGTGCATGTTGCTGCTGGCCCTAGGCTGGACTTCTACCCTGGTCCAGGCCGACAGCGAGGATACAGACATCGATGTGGAGGACGATCTCGATGTAGCTGGGGAGGAGGAAGAGGAGCCGAAGCAGGCCAGCCCCCCTTCTGCTCCCAAGGTGAGTTAGCCGAGGAGAGGTGGGGGAATCCAGTCAGTCACCCAGTCAGTAGGAGCAGCTGTAGTACAAACTGTTTTGTGACGACGCAGCTTTGTGACTTACAGTGAAAAGTTCAGTCTGTGAGCTACAGAGACAGTTCTTTGTTTGGTTTTACCATTTATTACAGAACAGAGCTAACAGGGAACTCCTCAAATAGAGAGTGATAGACTAGTTTGACAGAAATCACTCATTGACTTTCCAGGCTTAGGGAGAAGAACCCATGAAGCATTTCAGTCCGTTCAAGTTTCAGAACTGAATGTTTTAATTGAGCTGAAAACATCAATAATAGATGATATTGTTCCCAGACAATCTGAATTTCATAGTGAACAGACACCTCTTAAATCAAGAGATTTTGTTTTTACTCATTTATTCTTTTAATTGTTTTTTTTTCTGCCACTTTTAATTAGGTTTTCAGTACACACAAGAAGAAATTTAAATGTATCATCATAAATGTGCATTCTTACATATACACTACTGAACTAATGCTTAATATCTATGACTTACTGGAACCTAGGCTGTAAAGGTGGCAAGCTATGCTCTAGTACCTTTACTCACTTCCCTCTTCACTAGGGGATTGAAGAAGGGCCGTTTGAATAACGAGAATCATCTTTTCCCTTTTCTTTAGGTAACCTATGAGGCTCCTGTTGCAACCGGCGATTTCTACTTTGCTGAGTCCTTTGACAGAGGAACCTTGGATGGGTGAGAATATTTGTGCTTTAATAACATTTAAGCCTGGGATCCGGTAAACAGTGATGCAGTGTGGGCAAAGGTAACACTTCTGAAAGGTTTTAGCTGAGTTTCTGGTTAGTGGAAGAAACAATAACACGAGGTTTATGAGGGTTATTTTGAAATCTATTCCGATATCAGACCAGCCTATCCTTTCCTCTAAGAAGATGTCACTTGAGGCAGCTCTCGCTGTATGTTACTTTAATATTACTTAATTATTTAATATTACTTGGTTCTCCTGGTCCTCTCTATAGGACCGTTATATCGTACTGTACTTATTGAACTGAAAAGATCTCGTGCAGAATTATGAAAAAGGAACACCTTACACATTTCATTTTATAATAACCTGACATAAATAAATGGTGTACTTTTAAGTAACATTCCTCCTAATTAGAATGGGAGTATCAAATAGCTGTTACTTCTATAGTTTCAGGTATTTGAATCTTTGGCATCCAGTATGAATTATATATATTTTTAAAATGTATTAGCGGAAATCAGATTTGTAGTACACTGTGGAAGATGAAGGAGTAATACTGCAGTGTCAGCAGTGCTATCTGGTAGACCTGAAAGTTATAACAAGCAACTGGCAATTGTGCGCAAATGTCATTTTTAATACATGTATACATATATTGCATCTTTTCAGCATGGATTAAACCATTAACTGTTCATATATATATATAAACACATCTTTCATGGTTCAATGTACTGCAAAATTGCATCTTAAACATAATTATAGCATTGAAAGAAACCTGTTATTATTTTACTTTTGAGTCATTAGTGAGTAATTTAAGATGTTGAAGGTCAAGCCTGAAGAGAATGAAATGCCCAAAACAACCATTATACCCTGCTTATTAAGATGATAATACCTTTTGTTCTTTCTCACACTAACTGTTACTGCATCCTCAGCGTTTGCCTGAAGGATCCAAAAACTATGCAACTAATAGTACTCTGAGGCCTGAAGATGCTGTTTTTTGACACATCATTTTTAAACTGTGATGCAGCATCAGGTTTATCAGGCGTCAGTATACTCTTCTCTGAGACTGCCATCTTCCCTTCTGTAGCATACAATACTTTATTGGACTATAGCAGACCTATGAAATGTGCCCACCTCCCTGTTAGTCATCACTGCGCTGATAAACTTTAGTAGCATTAGTTTTCTCTCGTTTCGTACCTAAAAATATTAAGCAAGTGTTTATTTTTAACTTGGTTTTGAATACAGGCATGAACTGCCAATAAAATACACCTTGAAGATCAAGTTTCTACACCCAGAAAAACACAAGTCCTCATTTGTTATTAATTTAGCAGGCAGGCAAAAGGTTATTATTAAATTTAATATCATGGTAATGTTTGTTTTTTAAGCAGATAAATCCGTTAATCTTCTGTTTAAAGAATGGAATGTCTCGTCTGTGCTTCTGATCGTGAGAGAAGTAAAAAATATTGCTGAGCTCAGTATAATGTCTGTACCCTTGATTAAAATGAACGTTATCTTATCCTTTCAGGTGGATTTTGTCAAAAGCTAAGAAGGAGGGTATTGATGAAGAAATTGCAAAGTACGATGGTAAGACTTTGGTGATAATTTGCTTTGCTATGCAAAAGAGTCCTTTTCCTTAAGTAACACACTATAAGAGAAGTGTGTGTTAATGTGCTGTTACCTTACATAGGGCGGTCTGTCATCATGAAAGGATTTTCTAATTTGCGTTTTGTTACCTAAGAGATACAATTTTTTTTTTTTCTGTCTCATTTCTCATAAAATTGTCATGCTCTCATGTTGGTCTGTTGTTTTATTTAATAAATTAGGTGTATTCCTTTTTAAAGGGATAGGAAGATGGTAAAGAAGCAGTTCACTCTCTTGCTCATCACATTCTTTGCTGTTAAATGAATCTTCATGACCATGCTAGCTTATTCTTCAGAGCCAAGTAGGTAATCAGACTTATGGGAAGAGTGTTCTGAGGTTGAAGAAAATGTTTCTTTTCAAAGGCCAATGGGAAGTGGAAGAAATGGTCGACTCCAAACTCCCTGGAGACAAAGGCCTCGTCCTGAAGTCTCGTGCCAAACACCACGCCATCTCCGCCAAACTCCTGAAGCCTTTCGTCTTTGACACCAAGCCCCTCATTGTTCAGTAAGTGGCCACCAAATAACCGGCAGTGGCACAGAATGGATAAGGCAGTTGTATTTCTCAGTGTCTTTATCAGGTATACCCGTGTATTTGATATTTAATCAGTAACCTCATTTTCCACTGGCACAAGCTAGTTGTGAAGTTTGCATGATCCGGTTCTAGTGGCCATATTGTTGAGCCGAGCCAAAACCAAGCAGTAAAACTGCAGCCTTACAACCCCTGTGGCAGGGTTACAGTTCAGTGCTAATGACTTTCGTCATCATGTTATTTGATTCAGCTTAAACAGAAGACAGTGGAGTCTAATAGTGTTGCAGAGTTGGAAAAGAGCCCAGCGCCAGTCTGAACAGATTCCAGTATTCAATAAGGCATGGTATCTTCAATCTGAAATGAAATAAATGTAATAAGCTTGTATTAAGTCAGAATTACCAGTAGTGGACATAGGCTGAGATGAGAGTCAGTACCACCAAAAAAAAGTCTGTTGTTTTCAGACCAAACGTAATTCTGGTAAGATGCAGATTGGTGCTCTTTCCAAGAAGCCTCTTCTACAGATGTCAGCGTACACTGTATGTGATGTCATGGACCACAGCTTGGGTAGTGCAGTGACCCTTCAGCTCCTTCAGGCAGTCCAATAAGAACTGATAATTTTATTATCAGTTTTTTTTGAGAGCTTGCACCTTATTACACTGCTGTAGAGGTACCCTGCTGCCTTTAACAAGCCTGCTAATGGAGATGTGGGGAGAAAATGCAAAATAATAGAATGAAAGCAACTACACTGTGCTGTATTTTTTTTTTATCTGAACAGAGGAAATAAAACTTTGTACATTAAGGAAAACCGTACTTGATATACCTTAACCTTTAATATTTTTTAATTTTCTTTTTGTATTGGCGCTATGGAATTTATCGGCAACTGGACTTCAAGGGACTTTCAGTCATGTTGTATTTATTTTGCTTGCAGGTGCTTTTCAACGATTTGAACAATTGGTGCTTTGGTAATTTATCCCCTGATGAATGAGATCTTTTTCTTCCTCTCCTTTCCCAGGTATGAGGTAAATTTCCAGACTGGAATTGACTGTGGTGGGGCTTATGTGAAACTCCTTTCCCAAACACCTGATCTGAACTTGGTGAGTACTTGTAAAGTACATATGTTCTGCTACCTTCCAAACCATTTTTATTTCCAGTCAGCCTTCTCAAAAAGGCTAAGACTCAAAGCATTGAATGTTCTCTTTATTCTTCATAAAGTCCTAAAACAAACTGCAGGTATGTAACAATTTCTGTGATGCACAACATGAGATCTTTATTCTGAGGGGATTGAACATTCGCTTAGAAAAAAGCTTTGACAGTTGTTTAAAGTGTTATGAGTAAAACCCTATTGAACCTCTTCAGTGCTGTATGTGCATTACAAAATTCGATCCTGCACTTCCCACACTTTAATAAATCTAATCTAACAGGCTGCAGGATGTTAAGCTTTTTTTTTAAAGAGCTCAACCCCTGTGAGTTTGTATAATGGTAACAGAAACTGTTGTCTATTTAGAAGTTAGTTCTGCATCTTGGTATGCTATTTTCTCTGCCTTAAAATAAACCTCTGTAAATTTGGTCAAAGTTCATACATTAATCAAAGTGCACTAGTGTCCAGCATTAACGGTACACTAGTGAGACAGACATTACATCTGCCAATACTGGCAGAAGCTCATCTGTAACATTCTTCCCCAAGTTTTCTGTAGGTCCTGTGGGGTAACACTGCTGTAAGTGCCCATCAGTGCTCTTGAAGGAGCTCAAACTTGTTGTGGATTGAATCCCATGAGTGAGACAGTAATGCATAAGATACTGCACAGGCAGATTGTGTTGCTGCTGTTTCATGTTTTTAAGTCATTTGTAGCAGTACGGTCACAAGAATAGCTGTTGGTGAGCAGCACCAATGAAACTACTGTATTTATACTTAGAAAGTAAGTTTACATCTGATTTTAATAGCCAACTGTAGAGTATGTGCAAAGCACTAGTTTCATTAGCTTAAAAAACATGTAACAGGGCAAATGCTTAGTGGTGGATGGTTGTTACCTGCAAAACTTTGGGGCTTCAGCTCCTCTTTATCATAGATCTGTGGTTACAAGTTAGCTTGAAAGAAAAAAACCCAAGAATAATCTTCTTCCTTAAATACAATTAGGAGGTTTCTCTCATTTGGATAACAGACTAGAGTGACAAGCTCTATAATTCAGTTTATATTATAGCGTGCACTGAAATGTTAACAGCTGCAAGAAATCAGCATTTGCATATAAATGTTTGTCCAATGTGTAATTCGTTTTTTTTTAAATGTCTGTATACAGGATCAGTTTGTGGATAAGACCCCATACACCATTATGTTTGGGCCTGACAAATGTGGAGAGGACTACAAGCTGCACTTCATCTTCCGCCACAAGAACCCCAAAACAGGAGAGTATGAGGAGAAGCATGCCAAGAAACCTGACGCAGACCTCCGCACCTACTACACTGATAAGAAGACCCACCTTTACACCCTGGGTATGGCTTTTCATGCCTGCTCTTAGAATGAGTGAAGTAATCCAGCTCGTGCAATTTTGTGTTTGTTGCGTGAAAGGTTTCTCGTAGTGCACACATGTAGAATGTAGAAAAGTCCAATACTGAAAGATAGTTGTCCCTGGGTCTGCCTCCCCTTCGGAGCCACTGTGTGGTGTGCAGACCACTTAGGCAGTTCACAGTATGAGTCTTATTGACTGTAGCTTTTGTTGCAGTGTTGCAAGATTCAGTATTTGTGTCGGCTTTGTCTAGTGCTGAACCCAGACAACAGCTTTGAGATCCTCATCGACCAGACAGTCGTAAATAGTGGGAATCTCCTGAATGACGTGAGCCCTGCAGTCAACCCCCCTGCCGAGATTGAAGATCCTGATGACAGGAAGCCTGAAGACTGGGATGAGAGGCCCAAGATCCCAGACCCTGATGCAGTCAAGCCTGAGGACTGGTGAGTACCCTTTAGCCCAGGGTGGACATGGGGGGACATTTTTGCCAAATTGGCTTAAAGTATGGAAGAAAGCAAAATTGATAGGGGAGTTTTTCTTTTATACCCGTAAGAGTATTTTTGAATAGGATTTTTTTCCTCTTACTGTAAGTAGTCATTAGTACAGTTTCATTTGTCTTCCTTCTTTCTAAAATACTGAATTTGCCATTCCTTTGAAGATGGCATACTTGGCATCTATGAAGTGAAAACCCCTCATTTATCTGAGCAGGAAAAGAAAAAGTACTTGATTTAAGACTCGGGGTAATCTGCTTCATTCATATGATGCTCGGGTTTTTCTAATAAATTGTTTGCCTATCCGTAATGCTAGTGATCAGAATGAATAGGAAATTAATCTGGTCTGTGCTGCAAGTGGGCTTTTGTATTGATCGGTTTGCTCCTGCAGGGATGAAGATGCTCCAGCAAAGATCCCGGATGAAGAAGCTACAAAACCAGAGGGCTGGTTAGATGATGAACCAGAATACGTCTCAGACCCTGATGCAATCAAGCCTGAGGACTGGTAACTGTTTTTCTAATAGGTGCTTCTGCAATACAATGAGCTAGAAGCTAGGGATACATGTATAATTCTTCTATAGTGAAAATTTGGCATGCTGTGTCTGGCGATTGTTGAATTATAATAATCAGTCATGCCAGTTGTTTTAACTTAAGGGATATTTTCTCCATCCAAAGGTAAAAACCCTAAACACCAGTTTAAAATACCAAATAAATTCTGCTTACAAAAAGGAAATAAAAATTTCTTCAGATATGAAGAACAGCCCTTTATCCCTAAACTTGCCCATCTATTGAGGGTTTCAGCTGCCAACTACTTTGCCCAGATTGCTAGAGCTTTGCTCTGTAGTTCTTAACCTGGGGTGTACGGATCACCAGGGGATTAGAGATTGCTCTTTCCAAGGTAAATTACTTCAAATAACCGTTTGAAGTAAGGGGGAAATTTCAGACAAACCTGACATTGTCCTGAAGTGGCATCCACCCAGAAAACTGAGGTTTGACACCCCTGTTCGTACAATGTGCCATGGCATCATTCATGAACAAGTAGTCAGGATGTCGGTTTACCTTCTCATTCAAAGGACACGCTTTCCATAGCACACTAGGACATTGGTTTGGAAAATCTGGTCCAATTACGGCAGCAAATTGGGTTTCCTTAGAAAACCAGTCTTGCTTAGTCTCTGAGATCTGATCAAATCGGACTACGAAGTTGTGATGCTGCTGCCATATATTGTGGCATTACTCCAGTGGTATCTGGTTGAATAAATATTAACTGCAATCCTCACATTAGCAATTTATTAGGGACATCTTTCTTTGTTCTGCTGGGCATTTTATTAATGCTTTAAATAGAATACAAAAGGTCTTATTTTGTCTTCAATGAAATACTGTGTGTTATGATAAGGGCATCATAAATTGATGTTTCCCCTCTATATCGCCTTATTTAACTATTTGCCACTCTCAGTGTCTAACAAAACCATAGCTTGGTTTGTTCCTAATACACCACTTCTGGTAACTTTATCCTGGTGGACACCGGAAGGTCCTAGTTAGTTTTCAAGTGAAGAGCGTTTCAAAGAAATGACCTATTAATGATGCTTCCTCTTTGTTTTAGGGATGAGGATATGGATGGTGAATGGGAAGCTCCTCAGATCCCCAACCCTAAATGTGAAACTGCCCCTGGCTGTGGTGTTTGGCAGAGACCCGTGATTGACAATCCCAACTACAAGGGCAAGTGGAAGGCGCCCATGATCGACAACCCTAATTACCAGGTATCGTGCCGGGAAAAAAGGGACAAATCTGATAACTATACCTCTTAAAAAAAAAAAAAGGATCTGTCTTTTTCTAAAGGAAAAATGACCTCAAAGGAATGCAAACTGAATTTCCCTTAATCGTGGTCTTGTCCATCGTGTCATCTTCGCCTCTAGGGAGTGTGGAAACCTAGGAAAATCCCCAACCCCGATTTCTTTGAAGATCTGCACCCCTTCCGCATGACGCCCTTCAGTGCTGTTGGGCTGGAGCTCTGGTCCATGTCCTCGGACATCTTCTTCGATAACTTCATGATCTCCTCGGACCGCGCCGTGGCGGATCAGTGGGCCAACGATGGCTGGGGGCTGAAGAAGGCCGCCGAGGGAGCTGCAGAGGTGAGCACCCCTTCAGGATCGATGGCCTGGAATGTACTCTGCCGTTGGTCTTTGATCCCTGCTTAAGGCTCTTCCTGGGGAGAAGTAAAGATGATATGCAGCTTCCGGGACTAAAGGGGGCTAAATAAAATCATTGACTAGTCAGGAAATTGGGATTGTGCTCTACTCAGCATAGTAGCCATCCATAAATTAGAGTGGGAACTCTATTCAAGTAGTTATAGACCCAGTAAGTTTATTACATGTAAGGTAATAGAAGCTTATAATTAGCTAAAGGGTCATCTATATGAAAATAATATGCTAGGAAAACCCAAGTCAGCATAGATTTACAAAAGGTAGGTGTTGCCTAATCAACTTGTTTGATATGGTGTATTTAGATATTAGAAGGCTTTTGATCACATTCCTCATAAATGATTAATTGTCAAATTGCTGTTGTAGGTATTCAGGGAATTGAATGTTTGATTTTAGAATTGTTTGATTAAAAATAAAGGATACAACTAGGGGTGAATTCTGTGATGTGATGTAATTAGTGGAGTACCACAGCGATCTATACTAGGACTTCTGTTCTTTATTCCAGAATCTAGATCAGTGATATACTGTAAATTATTAAACTAAGGATTTGAAAACACTGTAAATGAAATTTAAAAAAAAGGTTGATAAAATTCAAAACTGGACTATATACAGAAGCAATTAAAAAGCAGAAACCTAATATATATAGGGCAAAATTTAAATCAAGGGATGTTAATGCTAAAATTATACAACACTAGTAATTGGTTTCTTTAAAAAATGGCAATTAACTACTATCAGTTAAACTATCAGATGGTTTCCTCTTGTTTGTAAACACTTTAAATCTGTCAAGCAGCACATTTACTAACACATTTTCTGTTAGAAATTTTATTGCTCAGGTTTTAAGGTTTGGCAGCTGTCATTCTCTACAAAGATGCACATGTTACTGTTTAAATGGATTAGGTGGAATAGAGATCTTGACAGAGTACTGTCAAGCTCATATTAATGTAGTAGTTCCATTGTTGGAAAGCATTCTAGATTGGAAAGGATTAGCAGTGCTTTGGCTGCCTTTCATGAAATTCCTACAACACAAATGCCTTGTTACCTCAAGGTGAATTCCTAGAATTTTCTTCATGCCTATCTTAAAGGCCCATCGTCTGTGTTTTTCTTTCTGTTGTTAGAACTAGTGAAAGTGTTTGAGTTGTTTTTAAAAGATCTATTTAGGTTCTCTGAAGCCAAACAGACAACCTAATAAGAAAATACATTTTACTGAAGATACTCGTTTTTAAATTATGATTTAGCAACATTCAAGCTCAACATGTTTTCCTCTTTATCTGAGCCTTGCAGATTATTGCAAATGTACATTTCATAATTGCATATCTATCTTGTTTTATAAACTTCTTTTACATAGGGAAGACAAAGAAATTAGATTGTTGAAACAATTTGCTTAGCTTGTATTACAAGTTTACATTTGAGGTATTTAGGAAAAAATGCTATTGATATGCTTAGAATACACAGCTGCACTGTTCACATAATGTTTAGCCACAGGAATGTGGACACAGCTGTTTCAGGTCTTTCAACCTCTGCATCAGACATTCCAGGGCTTCCTGTGTACTTGTTAAAAAGGAAGGCCAACAAGCTAAACAATCTCGGTAACTAAGGTTAATCATAGGAAGCCTGTTGTATCCAATTTCTTCTGTTGGAATTGTCTGTGTCAGTGTTCATAGACAGACCAGCTCAATAGATAGTCCAAACCCTAGGAGTCACACTCTTACACTTATAATAAGTGTACAGTTTCATGTACCTAAGGAGTACTATTTTAAAACAAAGAACAAGTACAGGTAACTGTGGCTACTGCCATTTTCTTACCTTTTAATGTTGGGTTCAGTGTACCCTTTGGAGAGAGCTGCTTAAACACTGTTGGTCTTTCCTCCCATAGCCTGGTCTGGTGGGTCAGATGATGTCCGCAGCGGAAGAGAGACCCTGGCTCTGGGTGATCTACATCCTCACGGTGGCCCTGCCTGTCTTCCTCGTGGTTGTCTTCTGCTGTTCTGGAAAGGTGGGCTGTGTTGCATGGCAGTCGGCTGTCGGACACTGTCCCCACGAGCACTTTTGAGTCTTGGATACTGCATTTCATTGTACTTTTCTGTTGGTGGTTTTCCAAAACCCTGGGCATCTCAAGATTTGTGTAGCAAAACTGCACATGGATTGTGCCTGGTAACAGTTTCTGTGTTCTTCAATTTTTGTACTTATTTAGAATGGATTATTCTTTTATCTGTCAACAGCAAATCAGAATGTAAAATGCATTTGTACTAAAGTGAGAGTGCAGACATTGGGTTCTAAGAAGTGAGATTAGGAACTATTCTTCTTTAATAAAATTAAATCTATAACTGTGCGAAAAGCTACCAAATTCCAATTGTGAATTTCTGTGGGAAATATCTGAAACTGTTATTAGCAGAATCGTACTGAGATATTGTCTTCCCTCTTGCCTAGAAAAAGCCATCTGCTGCAGAATACAAAAAAACGGATGAGCCCCAGCCTGATGTGAAGGACGAGCAGGAGGAGGAAGAAAAGGAAGATGGTGAGGAGGAAGAAAAGGAAGATGGTGAGGAGGAAGAAAAGGAAGATGAGGAGAAACCAGGTAAGACTATTTTCAAAATCTAGCTGTTGCTGCTGATATTAAATAGATTTTTTTCTTCACTTATTCAGTTGTAAGATAGCTTATGTCTTAAAGTAAAAACTAAACAGACTCGGTTGAAAACTGTTTCCTGGCTAATAATAATCCAGCCTTTTGCTTAATTATTAAAGTGATGGTCAGAACAAAGAATACAAGACCTGTTCATTCATCTTTGGGCTTTAGTCTCGATTCACACTTAGTATATATATCGAAAATGTGTTCTAGGTCACCTGGGGTGTAGCAGTGAATCTTGGCGGCTTTGTGGAAAATATATCAGCTGTGTTGTGCAACAGCTGGCTTTGAACCAGATATGTTATAGGCCTAAGAGTTGTTATTGTTTTAACAGTTATTTGTTTTAATATACTCATTTCTAAAGTGAATATAAATCGGTATATGCAAGACCTTCCATTATTTTTGCTGCTTTATTTGAATGAACTTTAGTTGCAAATTGCAAATGGTCCTACACAGGCAGGTATTGCATTTGACAGCTGTTTCCACCTTGTTTGGCATTTCATTACATTTTGTAGATGCCGATATCTTTCCACTATTCATTTCCCAATAACATTTACTAGTATCATTGTGTTCCATATTTGTAATTCACAGTAATTTGAGTTTCAGTTATTTAGCCTGAAGGCCAGGTATGGGCTTGTTCCCCAGTCCAGGGTGTGATTGAACGTGTGTTTACCTCTTCACAACAGAGGAGAAGAAGAGTGATGGAGAAGAGGGCGCAGGGGAGCACAGCCAGGAGGAAGAGGAGGAAGGGGAAGAACGTGATGCTGATAAAACTGCCAAGGTAGCTGAGGAACCTCTCAAAAATGAGTTTTGCTTTTTCTTGTTGTTTTTAACATATTATGATGAGTTCCAAAAGAAGATCAAAGACACTGTGACATCAACAAACTAATTTCCCCATTATTATTGAAATCCAGACTTCTGTCCAGGTACCAGGATGGTATTCTAATTTAACTTTCTGTTGTGCACAGCCCTCTGATTTTTAAGTACTCTTAAAGGCAGTTCTCAAACAGAAAAGTATTCTGGGTCTGCTGTCGCCAATCGAAAAAGTACTGCATTCATGCCTGGAGATTGGGGTCGTCATAGTGAATAAACTAAAAAGGGACTGTAAGGTCAGCTATCCTTGGGGTCTGGACAGATCTTTGTATTTCATCATGACATGATCCTGATAGTTCTGGAGGAATGCAGGGGATCAAAGCTGGGTCTTTATTTCTGATCATCTAACTCACTGCAGTGGCAGCTTGCAACAGCTGGTAAGGGGAAGGAGATTTTTTTTAAACTCCATGTGCAATTACATGGTGAAGTAGAATAGCCCATTGTATTTAGTTCTGTGAGTAAATGTTGAGCTTTATGAATTTCTTTTTCCTAGAAAAAAGAGGATGTCCTGAGACAGTCTCCCAGAAACAGAAAACCCAGAAAAGACTGATGGACACCCTGGTTCATGCAGCTCCCGGGGAGCCTTCTGCTACCACAACTCTGGACTATCTCACAGCAGCAACAAAACAGCAGCAACATGTTTTTAAGAGTGAAACAATCGTGACCATGAACTGTGGCAATGATTAATGATAAAGTAGAGACTGGCTGTACAAAAACTATTTCATTCCTTATAATGCAGCTGACACTAGCCTTGGGACCCAACACAACTGCCATTTCACCCATAGCTTTTAAGAACAGACAGTATTGATTTGTGCTTTAATGAACACTACAATTACATTTTTTTGTATTGGATGAAAGTCAAGACATCAGATAATACCAAACCCCTGCACTAGGTTTCACATCTTAAGTTCCCCTGTTTGAGATGGATGAATCAATGAACACAGACTGGATTGTTTAACGTCTATTTAAAGGGGTGTTTCAGATGTATCGTCTAAAAATACTGCATATATTGAACCTGAGAACAGGGTTTGATATGTGAATTGAAATTGTGATCCGTTTCTTTGTGTTGGATCAAGTGTTCATTCAGGTCTGTATTTGTTAATTATAATAGCCCATTAAGGATACTTGCTCTGTTAATTTTACAGTCCAGAACTTTCTGTGGTAAATGTGGTCTTCCTTCTACTGTTCAGAGGCCTGTGATGGCTCAGACTAAAGGGAGTTCAATTGGGGGCCCTTAGGTTAGAAAATGCTGCCTTGTTATTCAAGAAGGCCAGGATTTCTGAATGAGTTCCTGAATGTAATGTGAGAGGATGTTTTTTTTTAATATATTACTTCTTGAGCATTTTTTATTTTTTAATTTTCATTTCCATCATTGTTAGTATTAGAATATTTTTAGTTAGATAAAATGGAGGGACAGTATACAGTCTATAAAGGAAAATAAAGTTTTGCATTCCTTAGATGAAAAGTCAGCAACTGGTGAATTAAACGCTTACATGCTGATGTGAATAGATGTTAAACCCAAGCGTTCAAACCTCAAATCTGTATGAAGAGCATACACTTGATCTGGGAGTTTCCAGGACTGTTCCGCCTCTGACATAAGGTACTACCCATTCCTACGTGAGTACTTTGGTGCACATCCTGTGATCTAATTTCCTGGCTATAAAAGGTGCCAACACAGAAGTGCCTGGTTGCTTTCTGAGTTTCAGGCATCAAGCCTATTTAATCCTGCATTTATTCGTGATGATAAACGCAGAGAAGAATCTGAAATGTTATCCTAAACCCCCAACACTTTATTCTCCAGAACAAGGTCACAGTTGTCTTGGTATAAGGGCTGCAGATTTTAAAGGGCTTTCAGTGCTTGCTCCTGGCCAGCTACTAAACACTTTTTTCTTCTGTCATGTCTTAACTGATTGCACTGACTTCAAAACTGAATAAAAGTTGCTCTTCTTATTTGCTGTATTACAAATGGAATTCCATTTTGTATACATTATGATAATGAATATTTTGATATTGGTTTTCCTGTAGGCAAAGTGCAGTATTTATTACTTTTAATGATGTTACTGATGAGCCATGATGTACTAACATCTACAGCATTCAGGGTATCAGCCTTTTGAATAGAAGGAGCAGGCCTTTACTTTGTACAGCTCGGGCTGCATTGCTGCATCTGATAATGGAAAGCTGTTTTGAAAAAGTCACGTTTTATTGAGAGATGGTCCAAAAATCTAAAATAAAAATACCAAGGATTGCTCTCAGTTTCATATTTATGGAATGCTAAACTTTGTTCTGGGGGAATTTAACAGCTTGAAGAAATAACATTTTAAAGAGTTATGATTGGCACACATTGTTGGCAGCATGTCATACGTCTGCTACTGTCCAAAGAAACCAATTATCCCACTGCACAAAAATAAAATAATTTGACATGAAGAGATGTAGGGGTGGCTGAACTTCTTTGGCTATTTTTCATTCCAAGTAGTTCTTCTGAGAACTGATGGTGTTCACATGGAGATATTGAGGACATCAGTACCACCAGCTCTTCAACCGAAAGAGCTACAGACTAAAATCATTCTGACATGGTGTTTTGTTACTTTCATTCATTTATTTTTAATAACCAAGTTCAGATCAATTTGATGGGCTAAGCTTTCTATTTCTCCATCAACCTGTTTCTTTTCTTCCAAGTCAGTTTGATAGGATTGGGAGAGTCCAGGCATATCTAAAAGTTATAAAAACATCTGGATTGGTGAAAAGCTCTTGGTAAAAAAACAAAACCAAGGTGAGGTTCCCCCCCCCCCCCCCCTTGTTCTAGAAATATGGTTTACTATTTTAAAGTGGTCATGTATTTCAGTTCCTATTTCTAAAGCCTAACCTTGATTCATCCACTCTTTCATAGATGTGTGCTGTTCCTCACGGAGTTTCTGTGGAATTATGGAACGTCGGTTACCAGTTCCTAACACATTAATCATGCACCAAATAGAATAATAGATGGAATTTTGAGATAAAATATTGTACAATAAATTTGAGTTTGGGCTATTACCATTTTGTTTTTGTCTCCACAAAATTCATAATTTCTTCAGAGTTGATGTCTTTTTATTTGGTGGGACACTTAAATGCAGTTGTATAAATGGATCTGTGGAATGTTTTGCAGAGAAATAAAACATTGATGGATGCGGTTTGTTTCATTTGTTTGAAAGATGGGGCTCCTCATTACTATGGTATTCTTTTTTTTTCTGGAGCCTTTGTTGACATGGATTCTAGAAACAAGGATTTTTTTCGATTGAAAGACGTTCTCTTTGAAGGCCAGTGCTATCTCTGTTTTAGTATGGCAGGTGTCTACTAACTACTAAACAGGAAGAGGAAGTACAAAATTCTCACTCTGAATACATATTGGCAACTTATAGTGTATGTCAAGTGGTAGTTGAGAGAGTAAATGAATAAATCCTTTTTCTTAATTCTTTTATGTTTTGTATATTTTAATGGTGTTGAAACCTAAGGGTTAATGTTAATTTCTAGGGCTCCACAAAAAATAGATCTTTATTATGTTCAGTGCCTTAAGTAAGGTCCAGATTAAATTGATTGATCTACCCACCTTAAATTAGAGACTTGTTCTTAGTGGCATCTGTGTGTACCAGAAGGCCCTCAATGCTTAACAAAACTGGTGCCTAGAAGTAAATAAACAGTAGCAATGAGAGGGTCTGGTTTCTTTTAAAACTGCAGGACGAGCTGGAGTACCAACCTAACCCTAAATATACTATAAATGTAATAAAGTTATAATGAAAAAATGTAAACAAAGACCTTTAACCTGTTTTGTGGGGAAGGTATGAAAAACTTTTTTCTTAACGATTCTTTGTAAAAGGACAATTGAGTCACTAGCACTCCAGTTTCTAACTGCCACATGAGGTGAACCGATTTCAACTATTGTTGAACAAATTTGAATTGCATAATGATTTTATATAATTTCAGGTCATGTTAGGGCATCCCTAAAGCAGAGAATGAGTCAGATCTTTTTTTGTGATTTCCCAGCATTAATGAAGTGGGATTGATGTGAAAGGCTTTCATTGTGGTGCCCGTGCTAGTGCAGGCACATGACATTTAAAAATGCCAAGCTGCCTTGTCATGGTTTTGTACTTTTGAAGAGCAGCCTTTGCAAAACAACTCATGAAGTAGATTACTGTGTGTGACTGCATGCGATTATAAAAAAGAGGAGCAGAGAACGTCAGTTTAACATATACATTTTGAACATGACACCATTGCCACAGTTACGCGCCTCTTTACAGAAGTGATCTATTGTAAATACTCCAGCAAATAAGAAATTGTTTGTAAAGGTGCTTCTCTAAGAGAAAGAGACCCTTTCCATCCAGCACTTAAGTGTAGTACCTACCTTGGTAACATCTTTGCAGGTAATTTCATTGGTGGTACAGCAATTCCATTCTAAAGCTCATAAGGAGAAGTGAGAAATCGCTTCACCAGTTGAATAAAGGGGAGCTGTAAATAGGTCAAATTGGATAAACCCAAAGAGAAGCAGCCATGATATTGGGATTACCCTGACCCCCTTACTCTCATGAATAGTGCCTTAGGGTCTTTAGGAAGTCTGTTATTGTTCCACTTTAAAGTTGGCACTTTTCCGTAGCACAGTGTCCTGAGTTACCATCCCTGGGCAATAGTTTTGTCAATTCTGGCCAAATGGTAGAGTGTCCCCTACTGGTCACCCAGCACCACTAATAGTAATAGCAACCTGGTTTTTCCTTGGAGTCCTTCCACCATTGACTAGGCTTAGGTTTGCTTAGCTTCTGAGGTCTTGCAGTTGGTAATACAACTGTCACGTAAGATGGCACAGTCCCATGGGTATCCTTATGCAGGTACCAAGAGGCTTGGCTCAAATTTCAAGTTCAAATAATGGTCTTGGAAGATTAATAACTTATGGTATAAATATAATGTGGTGTGTAGACGTCTGAGCCAATAAAATACCACTTATGTTTGATCTGTTTTGTTTGCTATTGAATACTTTATCTGAAATGGAAAAGGTCCAAGGGGCATATTTATGTAACATTTGTTCCATAATTTTGCCAATTCAACAGTTCCAGTCCGTTAGCAAAATTAAACGTACGGAATCTGCCACAAGCGTTTAAAAATCGTTTTGGAGAAACCCAAAAAAATATCCAGAAGGAAACTCACTTTGTCTTCTATACAGCGCTTTTAGTTCACGGTGCTTAATAAAAAATTAACCAAGAGTTAGGAAAAGAAAAAAGATAATCGACTCAACACTTTCCTACACTAAAACATATCGGATGATGTTATTTAAGTTATGTAATTGTTATAATCATTGTGGATAACTCGTGTGGTGTAATTAGGTGTGATTTTCAGGTCTCTGTACTGTTTGAAAAACATAAACGAGCGCTTTATGAGTCGTATCATGTGCTGTGTGAGAAAATTAATAAAAGTTTGGCGTCTTTCCACACCACTCACTAAAAACACACCTCTCTTAAAAAGATGTCGTCCAAGCGTGCTTAATCATAGCTTTTTGAACGAAGTTTACGCACAGTGAAGGAAACCAGGGCTTTCCATTGCTTGTGGCTGCTGTCAATCGCTGAGAAGGGGTGGGGAGTGGAAACGACAGTCGTGACGCAGTGTGATGCGAAGAGGAAAAAATAGAAAAAAAGGGGAAAAAAAACTTGTTTCAAAATGGCGTCGGAAAGCTGCAAGTCCATTGGAAAACAATAGAGATACAGAAGGGAGGAAGAGTTTGTTTGGCATTCTGTTTCTTAGTGTAAAAAATACCTTCGGATATCAAACATTGAGGGCTCGGGATTCCGGTGGGTTTGGGGTGTCTTTTACCCTTTTCTGATACTCCTACATTTGTCAAAATGAAGAGCACGCTTTGTTATTATATATACTACATCCGTAGGTAGCCTGCTAGTGGGCAACTAAACGAAAATATAAAGATCAGCGGATAAGTTCGGGGGGAAAAGTTGCTTTTGTGGTCAATTGTTTTTTGGAGGGGGGGATGTAACTTTTTGTGAAGTTCACTTTTCCTGTGTAAATGTTTGCCTCTTTTATCATTCAGCATGCGAGCGACGTTGTTTAAAAAATAATATTGACTTAACGTTTCATGCTGCGTTTTAAGTTAGGATTTTGTCCATCCGTCCGGTTTTTTCCACGCCAAGGCGACGTCGGGCGGACTTACGTAGAAAGAAGTATGTAAAGTTAAAATAACTGCCAGGAGAATCTTAACTTCTTCGGTGAAGTTATTTCGGAGAAGAGGTTGCTCTTCGTATGTTTCTGTGCAGTTGAACTTCTTTGTCGCGAATGCTGTTTCACGTCACTTTTTCGGATTCACTTTTAAAATAGTTTCAGATATGCTGTTGTAACCCTCCTGCCTTTTGTTAGGGGTGAAGTTGTGGAAATTAACGGTTGGTTTTCAGCTACTACAGTAAACCGCCGAGATTTAACTTCCAAACTTTATGAATATTATTTAAAGCCTCACTTTCGTCTTTTTTTAAACGCGGTCGTTATAATGTAACCTCATCAAATGTAAGCTTCGCGTTTGCGAAATTGCACTAGACCGGTTGTCTGCCTCCGGAATATAACTTTATTATGTTATGTATTAGTGCCAGATCATGTTAAAGATAGCGCTCTGAATTGCTTTTTGGCATGCGTTCTCTATTGTTATGATAGTTTAGGGAGCAAGTCGAGAAACATGGAAAGACGAAGGCAGCGGTAGTGATGTTTTTGTGAAGGAAAAAAGGGGTGGTGGAATAACGCCCACGCATTTTTAGGCGCACCTTCGGAACTGATTTTATTTGTATCCCCCAATACCTCTGGGAAATCCGAGCCCCTTGAATTGTAATCGATCATTTTACATGCCCGTTGATGATGGCGGATTTCGTGGTGCCGCGGCACAGCGCCGTGATGGAGCGGCTCAGGCGGCGCATCGAGCTCTTCAGGCTGCATCACAGCAGCTGCGAGAGCCGCTACGACAACACGGCGATGGAGCGGCTGGAGATCGAGCGCCAGCACACCTTCACCTTGCACCAGCGCTGCCTGCAGACTAAGGCCAAGCGGGCGAGCAAGCACAGACAGGCGCAGCCGGCGTCTGACCAGGCGGGACTCAGGGGGGCTGGCACCGGGGGTAGCAGCACTGAGATGACGGACGGCGGCCCCGGAGAGCAGAGCCGGAACAGCACTCTGATTGCGGTAAGCGCGCTTGAGTTGTGATGCTGTGTTGCCTGGTTTTGCATTTCGATTTGCTTTTCCAGGGGATGCTTGAAAGCTAAATGCCCGTTAATGAACTTTCAACTTTGTGTTGGAGATATGAAGCACTCAAGCCACAGACCGAGTTTTGCTTCATCTAAGAGGAATGCTCTGTGCATCTGGGGGGAAGAAACCCCCCCCATCTGGACTGACCTCTGAACTCCAGCAGTTTGGGGAGTATTTGGCACTTTGCCACTTATAACGCTGCTGTAATTCCATTAAAATCTGGGCGAATATGATGACTCCTTTTATGAAGTCATACCGTGCGAGTTTAAACATGTTCTTAAACTGATGTCATTCTGATTTCATGAAACCCAGTTTGGTATGACAGTGTAGTGAAATAAAATGTCACCATGTAGACTTCTTTAAGGTAGGGGGCATAGACTGAAGTCTAGTGAGACTTTAACTAAAGGCCAGTCTTAGCTGTGTGGCTGATTGAAAAGGTTATCTAGCTTAACTTGTGATGCAGAAAAAAAAGTTACTCAATGTGTTTTTAAGACATTTCGAGTTTTTGCTTTTGGGTACTGCTGTCTATGAAGGAAAGCAGGAGAAGTGACCTCAGTGATGGGTGTTATTGCATTACCCCCTCATAACGCTAGTTATAGGTTCTGTATTTGCAGTATACTGATGTTAAATCTGGACCCCCTATTGTCTGCTGATTGTGCCGAAAACAAGTGATGGCTATTGACATATCCAAACTCTGACAGTCACTTCATAAATGCACAGAAAACAAATGTGGTCTGTAGGTGATCAGTAGGTTTTGGATGATTAATTCCATATCTGAATATTCTAGCACCACCAATGTAAAATCAACTTTTACCTGTGTGGTAGTAGTTCAAGAACATGTTCAGGTGGGTAGCTGTGTCAGGATGTGTAGTCTGCAAAGGAACAAGTAATAGGTTTATTCCATGCTGAAAAGAGAAGAGAGAAAACTCAACGTTTCGGCTGTGAAGTCTTCTTCAGGTGTTTAAGAACATGTTGTGCTCCTTTAATATGTAAGCAGTAGCACTGGTTAGAAAAATATCAAATAGCATCCATAAATAGTCAATGCAAAATGTTTTCTGAATTTAATGTCTCCAGATACAAATACATTTTATCAAAACAGCTTTTCCCTCAAGGGCCTTCACAGCTTTTACTTGCAATTTTTTTTTTAGTTTCACAACAACTTGTGTAATGATGAAACTGGGAGTGCTGTATATTTGCAGGGAGAGTCGTGTCATTCGTCTTTGCTCAATAGCATGCATGTTGTAAAAACTCAGTGTAGATTCTTACCTACAAGGGATCACAATTTGTCAGTTAAACAGTGCTTTTTCTTTTTATACCAGGGTTATTTAGTTAGACTTGTAGGCCACCCCAAATAAGCATTTGTTCTTCCAAAGGAACAAGTTTTCAGAAAAGAAAGGAAATGCAGCGTTTTGGCTATGGGGTCTCCTTCGGGTATTTGTTTTTCAAATATGGGAGCTGAAGGGCTTTAAGATGGGGGAAAAATTGATTTGACAGTTACTTATGTGCTGGATAGTTCCATACCAGGATTGGAGACTCAGTGTTGACATGCCCCAAGTTCTCATTTAAAATGCTTGATAACAGGTATACCTTAAATCTTACATTCTTACCTGGCAGTTAGCAAGCCAGATCAGTTCATTACTGGCTTAATGGGACCAGTTCCACAGTTTCTCCCAGCTCTTTGAGGTGCTTTAAAGAGACCAACAACCTGCAGACACACCAGACCTTCAAGATCAGGACAGGACAGCCCTGCCTTCAGCCTTATTAAAATTTAACTGTACGATGAGATCTTCAGTTTACACACCTTTTCAGTTTAAATAATGGTCATAGACATTAAAACATCACGGCTCATTTTGATCAAATTTATCAGGTTTTTTATGTTCGTGATTGTGATGGCTGTTACAGTTTGTCAGTCTTGACCAGTTTTTAATAGTGCCTGTGCAAATAACTGATATTCGTGCAGCTTTACGAGACACTATTTTGGCAAAGCCACTATCGAATAACTTAAAAATCCTTTAATATTCATAAATGTAAGGTAGCAGATCTATTTAATATAATGTACAGCACATCGACTATCCAAATTTATTTCTCCTAGCATGTCATTTAATAGGCTTCATGGGAAAGGAAATAGCCAGCAAAATTATTTTATTCAGATTATCATAATCTGCTTTGATTGGTTGGTTCTGACCTTTGAATTGGCAACAAAGCCTCACTGAAAAGTGTTCACATACATCTGGCAATTAATGCATTTTATATAGGCTTGTGTCCATATTAAGCCATATCTGATGGTAACGGGTATCAAAATGATTTTGCAAAACCATTTAAATTTAAAGTTTAAAGCAAAAAGGTGAGCATTCAGCCTTACCTGCTATTTTCAGGAAATCAGCATGAAATCTGCACAGGAACTTTAGGGATACCAGTGCTGAACCCAGTTAATTCATCATATGCACACCCGTTTCAGATAACTTATTATCTGCGCACACACAATATACCTCTTGTGTGTTTGTTCTATCTGCAGTCTGAGCACCTTTTTCTTTCATTGCTAATGGTGCATTAGCAACAAAGGCCAGATTCCTCTGAAAAATGAGACCTAACCCACTATTCAGTTTCTTATTTCAAATCCATTATTTCCACCTTCTGTATGTTTCTGTGACCCTTCTTATAAAGAAGCCCCTTCTCAGGTCGGTGGCCATGATGTCTATGGTGTTAGCCAGCAGAGGAGTTGGACACTGAGAAGTGTTTTCCATTGTGACTTCTGCTATCTCCTTGTCCTTTCCCTGATGAAAAGGAATATGTGACTGAATAGTTATAAATCCCACTTCTGTTAAATACTGTGGGCCATGGTTTTCCACTTTGTTGAGGTACTAAAGCTTTCTCTAGAGTACTTTATGCTTTTTCTGAAATATTCTAAATGGAGAGTTGATTTCCAACATGGTGTCCCACTCTGAATATTATCGTGTGACGATCATTTTCTTGGTAGAAGTGCTGCTGCATTCAGTGATAGAGACTGTACTTTGTGCTGCCTTCCTCAGATTCTTGTGGTTTGCAAAGAACCAGAAAGGAATTCTTTTCGTCACTCCATGTTGTACAGAGTTGGGATTTCATTCCGATCTGTCCACCATGATAACTTTTTACAGAGGTGAAGACTGCAAAAAGATAAGCACTACTCTTACAACTTCTGTTAGTTTAGACCCAAGTGCTATTGTTAAGTGATCATATATCTGATATACCCATTGGATTAGTGATGCAGTGTCTCTGGCTGCTAGTAACCTATTTTGACATTCTAACTGAAGAGTGGCATGTTTACTTTCCTGCTTATTACATTTTTTTATATAAATAATTAGGATGTATAATGCATACAGATAATTACAAAAATTATAATTCCTTCAACTCGTCTAACGCACAAGGAAGAAATGCTGTACTATGCAAACAATAAAAAGACAACCAGCAACAAAGATGGAAAATACTAAACAGAGCTACAGAAGTGGTATTTGTGTTTGTAGGATTTTGCATGTGGATAACATGTTGCTTAAGCTAACAGGAACATTTGTAATGAGTCCCCTGCGTGCCCTGTGTATATTTCAAATAATTTAAGCGAGATGTTTTGTATTTCATTTGTTAGTGTTAAGAAATCTCTCCGCTGTTGACAAATTAATAGGTTTCGTAACATTTTCCACAAGGGTTTAGTTGATTGCCTCCAAACTGAAGCAACTTTTAAGTTTTATGAAAGTTAAAAAAAAATCTAGCAAAGTTGTAATAATGAGGCAACTCAAATCCTCCTGGAAAACTAAATCTGAAAAATAGTATTGTGCAATGCATCTGGTTCTGTATAAGGTATCTTCTTTTTATTACCATAAATATTAATAGTATTGTTGTCTCTATAAAGCCAAAGGGAAAGTAACATTTAAGGTTTTAAGCTATGCAGGATCCTAAATATTATGGATCTGAAAGTACTGTTTTAAACCTTGTAGCATAGGCATGTGTTTATTTCCCAGCTGCTGTCACCTTACTTGGCCTTTCGTTACTATGAATGAGATCCAGTGAAATCAGTTGGCTTTAATGGTGAAACCAATTCATCAAGCTTACTGAGAGAGTTGGGCTCTGAGGGAGTACTGAATTTGAACAGGTACTGCAAGACATTATTGCAGGTGGGGATAGTGCTGCTTCGCAGGACTTCAATGAAAAGCAAAAGACTTTTAATAAATGACGAGACGGACGAAATCATCTAGTGGTTTCTATGGATTTAGCCCTTCTATGGTATTTTAAAATCGAATTCTTAATTGAATGCAGATTTTGCTATTGTTTAGACAATTGCGCAAAGTATACTTTTTTTATTTAATGAAGCATTTTGGAAAATAAACTCTATTTTCTTTCTCGTTGAGCTTTAGTCTGCCCTGTTCAGGAGCTCAACATGGAGTTTGAATAATAAAAATGGTAGCAGGTTCAAATGAAACCATGTACTGTAATCATTACTCAGTACTGATTTGGCTCGTTGTGTTTTCTCTTGACACACCCTCAGTCAATAAGAAGCTGTCAGTGTAAGACAGTTTTGCCAGCATCAAAAGGCTGTGTTTTTTTAGTGCTCTGCCTTCATTTCAAAGTGCCATATGGGCAAAATTTGTTGAAACCAATTATGGGGCTAGATTCAAGCACAGGTCTTCACAAAGTGTTTAGAAATATCTGCAGCCTGTCCTAAAAATAAAAGTGCTTGTTCAGCGCAGTCAGATACTTCTTTCATTACCGTTTGCTTTTTAAGGTAAAGAGAGTGTTTTGTCAGGTCTTTCACATAGTTGTGAAATACTAGGTTTCTGGAGATTTCTTAAAGTACATAACAGGAATTCAATGATCCTACAGTAAAAGATCAATTGAAAAGACCCCAGTTCTCTGTGTTCCATAGAACGGCACTCACTTCAGATTCTGCTGGGTTAAATATTCAATTAAATCCCTCACACGGCTGAAAGCTCTGTTCCAACTTTGCAGACAAAGTGAATCACATTGTGGTGTTATGCCTTCAAAAGGAGACAGCCTTTTGGTGTATTAGAGGAGGAATTCGGCACGCTTACTCGCTTCATTGAAGCTTCTGCTTTGGTTTTTGTGTTGTCAGATCCCGTCTATACACATGGTAATTTGTTTCATGTGGCTTAAATCTCAGGAGGGATGGGGGAAGTGTGTGTGTATTAGGTGGCTGGGTGGGGGGGGGGCATCGTGAAAGTGAGTGAATGTGCTGAAGCAGACCAGTTATTCAGGTTTGGGGGCCGTTATGGAAGTCGGTGCTCTTGTGGAGGTAGTTACGAGCTGCGATGAGTCACTGCATTGCGCTTCCATTAGAACACAGAGATCAAAAGCTCAGTCTCGCAGATTAGTGAATGCATTAAGGGTGTGCTCTGTATTCAGAGATTGTTTTACACATTCGGGCACACAGTCCAGTATTGTAAAGGATCATTGTGTAGGCTTCAGCTGGAGAACTTGGTTTTGAAATTTCTCCAGTATCGGCTGCCTTTTGTAGCCTTTTCTCAGCTGGCAGAGTGCCGTATTGGAGAGCCTAGTTGGATGAAAAGCACATCATAAAAATGAAATAACCTGTTTCTGTTTAACGCTGTCTCTTCTCTACTGATAGTTACTGCAGAGCATATGAAGATCTTGGTCATCGTTAGTCATTTTCTACTTTAGTTACTCACTGTACTTTCAAAACTCCAAATGAGCTCTTCAGTTTCTCTGGTAGTGAATTATTTTCAGATGACGGTGCAATACCCCTCCATCAGCATAGACCTAAAATCCTGCAGATGTTACTTCTGTGTGGTTGAGTGTTGCCCCAGACTGTGCAAGGTTTAGTTTTTGGTTATAGTTCCTTGCTGTAATTACTATGGTGGTATCCACCTCTCTACGTCGCGGAGGAGCCAATATGATGAGCTCTGCCTGGTGACGGACTTAATCCCGAAACAGACTCTGGATTACCTGAGCACTCGCCAAGTTTTTTTAAAAAACTGCAAACAGCAACCAGACTCTACCCAGAGTAACCTGGATTTTACGTTTCTCATTAGGTTTAGTCTTTTTTTTTAAAAGGCCTAATTAATATTTAAATATAATAGTTGCTTGTGTTTTAATACAGTACTATATATACATTTGATATTTATTTTGGATTTATCGTTTTTAAAGTGAACATTGGATTAATATTAAACTAACATAAATAGGATCACATAAACCTACCTAGTATCTTGACATAGACAATTTTTTGTATTTTGCAGGTATCTACTGCTTTTGATCACGATTAGGGGGTACCACAGGCCACTCACAGTTCATTGAGTGGAACCTGCTGATTAAGGTTCCTTGACTGGTTACTGATTAACTGAAATCTGTGAGATGAGAGGATGATGGTGACTTTAAATCCTTACTATTTTCCCCCTTGTCTCTCTTTTTTTCACATAACCCTGACACCAAATGGGATTTAAGTTTCTTGAGATCATAAATTTGAGGGTGTGCCAGCTCAGTTGTGTGTAAAAGTTAAAAATATTCCTAGATTGAGAGTTGTGTGCCAGGAGTATGTATTTTAAACTGCCTTGAAGAGGGTCTGCATCGGTAAAACTTTGTCATAACTTTGAGTTAGCAAACCCTGGTGTTAGTATTTTGTACAGGGTTATTTCTGTTCAAGGTTAGCAGTTGATTTTATAGTAAATACAGTAATGGAATGGTTTTACTAACTGGAAGCACCAGAATAACTAGCAACTAGTAATAAAAGTTTTGAAAAAATCCTTCTACAGTGGTGCTAGAAAGTTTGTGAACGTTTTAGAATTTTCTGGATTTCTGCATAAATGTGACCTTCAATGTGATCAGATCTTCATCTAAGTCGTAAAAATAGAGAACCGAATAAAACAAATAACACACAAAAGGATATACTTTTTTAGTCGTTTACTGATCAAACTGATCCAACATTAAATGTCTTTGTCAGAGAAAGTATGTGAACCTATGCTTTCAGTAACTGGTGTGACCCCCTTGAGCAGCAGTGACATCAACCAAACATTTACAGTAACTTGGAGCTTGGAGGATTTTGGCCCATTCCTCCTTACAGAACTGCTTCAACTCAGTGATGTTGGTGGTCTTTCTTGCACAAACACCCTGCTTTAGGTCCTGTCACAACATTTCTATTGGATTAAGATCTGGACTTTGACTCGGCCATTCCAAAATGAGAAATTTCTTCTTCTTCTTCTTCAGCCATTCTTTGGTAGACTGACTTGTGTGTTTAGGGTCGTTGTCTTGCTGCAAGACCCACCTTCTGTTGAGCTTCAGTTCACTGACGGATACCCTGATGTTGTCCTGAAGAATGTGCTGGTACACTCCAGAATTCATAGTTCCATCAATGATGGCAAGCCATCCTTGTCCCGTGGTAACAAAACAGCCTCATACCATGATACTACCACCATCGTGTTTCATGGTTGGGATGAGGTTCTTATGTTGGAATGCAGTGTTTGGTTTTTGCCAAACATAATGTTTCTCGTTTAAAACAAAAATCTATTTTTGACTCATCTCGTCCAGAGAACATTCTTCCAGTAGTCTTCTGGCTCATCCAGGTGGTCTTTAGCAAACTTTAAATGGGCAGCAATGTTCTTCCTGGAGAGTAGTGGCTTCCTCCTTGCTGTCCTCCCTTCAGTGTTTGCCTGCTGGTGGACTTGTGAACACTGACATTAACCAGTGCTAGAGAGGCCTGCAGAGCCTTAGACGTTTCCCTGGGGTTCTTTGTGATCTCCTGGAATATTATATGCTTTGCTCTTGGGGTGATTTTTGTTGGACGACCACTCCTGGGGGGAGTAACAATTGTGTTGAATTTTCTACATTTCTGACAGTGGATTGGTGAAGCCCAAAGTCTTTAGAAATTGTTTTGTAACCTTCTAGCCTGATGAGCATTGACAACTCTTTTTCAGAGTTCCTCAGAAATGTCCTTTGATCAAGGCATGGCATGTATTCACATACCTGTGTGGTGAAGACCAGACTTTGGTAGTGAAGACTAAGGTTTATGTTTTTTAAACAGGGCAGGGCCACCCACACCTGATTGTCATCCCATTGATTGACACTCCTGACTACTTAGACCCCTAAACTGAATTGATAATCCTAGAGGTTCACATATTTTTCCGACAAAGACGTTTAATGTTGGATCATTTTGATCAATAAATGAATGAAAAAGTATATCCTTTTGTGTGTTATTTGTTTTATTGCATTCTCTTTATATTTTATGGCTTGGATGAAGATCTGATCACATTGTAGGTCACAATTATTCAGAAATTCAGACAATTCTAAAGGGTTCACAAACTTTCTAGCACCACTGTAGTTTCTCATAAATGTAACACTATAGGTGGACACTTATTGGTCCTATTCTTTCAGATACAGTTTTTAAAGAACATCTAATGATGCTCTTGCAAATATCCTTTCTGAATATGGCACTTTATTAGCATTTAATGCGAAAACATACTCATTATACCACCTACATTCAAGCAGCACTGCATGTGAACACTTTATTTTGCAATCTGAACTGCAGTGAAGATAACCGAAATAACGGACACATACAAATATGTATTGGTTTATTTATTAAATTAAACCTACCGATAGAGGACCTGATGTTCTCCCCAGGTCTTATTTTTTCTCCATGTCTATACTATTTGTCTTGGAAGTAGTCTGACTTCCAAAGCATTTTGCTATAGTTTTATAACCCTCTCTAGATTCATGAGCACTCAACCCTTCCTGAGGTCATCTGAGGTCTCTTTAGACTTAAGCATGGTGAATTGCAATAGCCTGCATGGATCAGACCAAATTGGCTAGGTTTCTTATCTTTATATAGGAGAAGGCCTCCCAGACTTTGTCCTGGTGATTGGCTCTTTGATTGGTTAATGGTACTCAGTTGTTTTAGCACGTGGTTCTACTTGGCAAATTAGTACTTATAGTCAGCATTTCTAATCTTAAGAATTCAGGCCTAGCTCCGTCATATCCAGTTTATCATGTCAGTAGTAAAATCAGGCATAGTTGTATTTGTTTTTGAATGCATTTCCTACTAAGCATAACGAAAAACTTGTAAGAAATTCAGCCAAAGCACTAGATTAATCAGTTATCACAGTGTTATTCTTGTGTTGTTTGATTTTGTGTGTAGGATGACTCCCTCCTAGGCCAGCTGTCTGAAAGAAAGGTATCTTACTATACCTCAGCCAAACTGTCAAACTCTACTATACATAGAAGTAGTAAGCAGAATGGGACGGAAGTGCTACTGTTACTGTGATTGTTTTCATGCTTCCACAGCTACCTATTACTAACATGTAAAAGTATATTTGTTGATCTCAATATTTGAGATCATGAGACTTCTTTTTAAATACAGTGTGCTTTCTTGTGGAAAGTCCTGATGAGACTTTTTTTTTTTCGCTGGCTGTGATAAAGAACTTACTAATATCTGGCAATAAGCTGTTTGGCTTCATTTTGTTCGTTTGTCAGTTTTTCTGCATGTGTCTCATTCGTGAGGTACAGTATGAGTCATTTAATTTAGTCAACTGACATTCAAAGGCCCCGATTGTGTCTCAATTTACAGAGTTCTACTGTTGGGGTAGAAAAATGCAAGTTTCCTTTTGTTAATATAAAAGATAGTTTGTGTCTGGTGACATATGTACTGCCAGGTCCGGTGCAACTACTTCTGCTTATGGTTTTTAACTGTCACAATGCTTTGTTTCTTACAGCTCCAAGAAACGGTTAAGAGAAAGCTGGAGAATGTGGCCTCCCCACTGAATGGGGACCAGGCTAATGGTTTTGGAGATGGGTACTCTGCAGCCAAGAAGCTGTGTATTGAGGACGCTCTGGTTGGAGTAAATGGGACATCCAATAAGCATGTCAGAGGTGGGGACAAGCCTAATGGGAATCACTCTATGAATCTGGACAAAAATGGTGGCGGTGGTCCTGAATCTGGTTTGGGGGGGAACCGAGAGTCTGAAAACTGTCTGCGCATCAAAGAGTTCAAACAGGAGCCCATGGATGATGACCTGCCTGGCATGCTGCCTCCTGGTGGCTCCATGTCCAACAACAACCTGTTTCCTGACCTGAACTTAAATGAGCAGGAGTGGAAGGAGCTCATGGAGGAGTTTAATAGGTCAGTGGCATACGAGGACATGCAGGACATCTTCAATGAGGGATTTGAAGACCGCAAAGACTCTGAGCTGCCTCCCTCGAGTGCACAGACATCTGTACCCCAGGACTCTATCAATATCAAGGTGGAGTACTCCCCAGCGCCTACAACCTTCGAGCATGATTCACGGACAGGCTCTCCTCAAGTGAGGTCCACATCCTCAGGACCACCAGTGCACACAAACTCCCCAGCTAGCACAGCCAGAACTGCCTCCTCACCAGCCATGCCTACTTCTCAACCCCCTGGCCAGCCCCAGAGACAGATACCCCAAACTGTTATGCTTCCAGGTCCTTCAACCAAAGACTTGTCCCCTGCTCAGCAGCTTCAACAGTTGGCTGCTCAGCGGATGCTAAATCAGCAACAAGCACAGAAACAACAACAACAACAGCAGCAACAACAACAACAACAGCAGCAGCAGCAGCAAGCTCAGAAATTTCATCAATCTAATCACCAGCCTCCATGGCCTCAATCTGCTTCTTCTCAAAGTCCACTTGGGGGGCCTTACGGCATGGAAAAGCCCACCAGTCCATCTCTCTACCAGCAGGACTTTTCCAACTCCAAACAACTCATGGTCCCCAACTTGCCAAACAAGAGTTCTCCCAAAGCTGGAGGTGGAAGCTACCTCCAAGGTGGTGGGCTACCCAACATGTTGGGCCACCCACCCAACAGCTTGACCCAAAACCCTGTTAGCAGCCAGCCCCCCTTATTGGACTACAATAACACTAAACCCTTATCCCATTACGAGGTGGACCAAAGCCAGAGGGGGACCCCACCTGCGCCGAACAAACATGCTATCCTGTCTCTCCAGCCGCAGCAGAGACATCTCACAGAGGAGCAGAAACGTCTGATCAAGCAGAAGACAGGGCTTCCGTTCTGTCACGTGCCGCCGGTGAGCAGTTGGCTTTTAACCACGTGTTAAGTGAAGAGCTTGTTTGAATCTGTCATGTTTCAGCAGTAGGTTAAATGTTTGTATGTACAATATGTTTTTTAGATCTTTAGATTTTTAAAGTAACAGAAGTAAGAGTGATATTCTAAATTGTTATAATGACTTTCCTGGGTTATTAAATTTGATTATTCCTCATTTTTAAACCCTACATTGAAAAGTAAAATCAGTCAAACCCAAACATGAAGGGGAAACGTGTCCTCTTCCTCATGAGGTGTAGGCCTAGAATCAGATTGGCTTGCAAGTCAGTCTTGCAGTAATGGAACTGATTGAGAAATAAAAACAGGCCCATCATAAAGTAAGTGAAAGCTGTTGAGTTTAAGCTATGCAAAGTGTAGTTTCTTGATTACTGCCTAAACAAGCTTATTAAGACCTAACAACAGTTAGGTGTTTGTTAGAAATATTTGAGATTTCTACCCAAGGAAACAAAATAGCTTCTATAGAGAAAACCTGAAATATTTTTAAGCCCATAGTAGTTTCCAAGAAGGTGGAGGAGGCAAGCCATCTCGAAGTAATGCTTATGCATGCTAACATGTCAAAGCATACAGAAAATGCATTGATTCTGAAAATGTTTCAATCACTTTGAAAACTTATCCTCCCACTTTCTGATGGGAAGAAGAGGAAACCTCTTTTAATCAGGAATGGAAGCACCAGATTAATATGGGTCCACAGACTGTTTACACGATTGTCTTGTAGGTTTGTCATGTAGCGGTAGGGTAATATTCCTACTTAAGAAGTAATGGTTACTAAGGGTTAGCAAGGATCTTTTCCACTTTGAAAGTGTCAAAGGATGTAATATTGGAAGCGCACAGTGGCCTGATGAGGAACAAAAACATGTGTGAGTCTGGGTCAAGCAGCTGGTTGCCAAGCAGCCTCCCAGGCCTGTGTGGACAGTGAAGGCCCCGGGCCTTTGATTGGTGGGGGAGGTATGAAAGGCCGCTTTGTCCGCGACTTGCACCGTCTCCTCATCAGAGTATTTTAAGATTTCGTCTCTCTGCCAATTCTCAAGAGTTCAAAAATAGCAACTGTAGCCCACTTGTTTGTCTCGCGAGATGGGACTTCCCCCCCCCAGCCTTTTGCATAACTTTGATTGAAAACTGGATTTCATTTGTACCAGACCGTTAGCTGCTGGTTATGTAGTTGTTTATTATATGGTGGACACTCCTATCCAAAGCTGCTTGTATTTCCAGGAACAGGAATATTACTGGAACAGCCTGAGTCAGGTGCCTTGTTCACGGTTACAGCACCAGTGCCCAGCTAGCTATCCGAGTCCCGAACCTTAGTGATAAATCCACACTGCTGAATATGGCAACAACATTGAGATATCTAGAGTGAAATCTACTGAGCTTATACGGACACTTTTTTTTTAACTTCCTACTATTTTGAATGTCAGACTGTTCAGGAAAATCTATATGCTTGTCTTTTTTTTTTTTAAAGCAAAGCAGCCTTGCAAGGTTTAGATTTTCATTTGGCTTTGGCCGTTTAATTGTTTAGAATCGACGTGGAAGTTACTTTGTGTAAGAGTTCAAATGTACAGCATTAACCCATTTTTTAGGGGGTGTAGCATATTTACTGTATGTCTTTGTTTCTTTTACAAATTTGCACCTGGGGTCACTAAGCAGTGTAAGGAAGTTTTGCTGAGCTGGGTCAGCCCAAAGTCAGAGAGGGTATGAGCACCATGCAAAACAAATACAGCTTTCTGAATAAACAGTTGAATTTTTTTAACGTATGTACATGGTGTTTTTACAGAGATTAGTTGCATTTTCTCTGATGCCAAAAATGACAATTCCCCACCCACTCCTCTCAGACTTCTGAAACCACGGTGTTGTGTAAGAAAGAAAAAAATATTAACAGATTTTACACACAGTTTAGCTTTTTTTTTTTAATAAGCATTGCAAAGAGTTTTCTTGGCAGAAAACGTAAAGTAGTGGATCAAAAACTAACTTTCTGTACTTAAACAGTAATTCATCTTTAGTCTATTAGACACAGGTGCTTATTAAAATATTCTGAAATGTTGGGATCTACTGCACATTACCAAAACCTTTTGATGTAAGCACCAAAATTTATTGTACACTGACAAAAGTAAGGCCGTTTGCTTCAAGCAATTGTTTAAATAACATTAAGCCCTACATTTAAGGAAATTGTTTTTAGTAACTACTAATTAGAATGGAGGTTTAGAGACCTTAAGTTGGACTTGACTCATTTCCTAATTAAAGCGAGCTTTTTTTTTTCCATTTTGGTGCTTTGACTATAGCTTACAGCTGAACTTCCCTGAATGAAATCATGTGTCCAAATGCCAGTGAGCATTTTTTCCCCTTGTTAGTTTTCCCCTTGTTAGATCTGGTCAACATGCATGCTAAATTGGGTCTCTCCTGACCCAGGTCAGCCCGCGTACGGCCTGGATATGATGCTTGTGTTCCATGAAATATTTTGTCCTGAGCTAGTGTTAAAGTTGTTCAGACTAGTGCATCTCAAGTGCCAAAGAAGAAACTCCTGGAAGGCTCCCTTTTCCTGGAGAACACTTGTGACTGATTGGATTAATCCCTTTGATTACTGGTGCGATAATACTGATTCCTCTTTAGTCCTTGGTAATGGTAACAGTGAATGAATAAGATTCAGTATAAACTAAACTAAAGTTAATTGATATTTTGCTTGGGGGGGGTAACTAATCTCTCAGTATAATGTATAGTTTTTAATGTATAGTAATAGCCCTTTAACTGGGTGCAGGTTGTAAGAGAAGCACAGACTATGTAGATCCCAAAACCTGAATGTTTTTGCATTCAAAAGCTCTCTAGTGCACCTTGTGCTAGTATGAGATAGAGAGTTATACATCCATTCCTTCATTCCAGTGGTTTTGTGCAATAACTAAGTGCCCTGTCCTCCAGCAGGACCAAACTTCTGCACAGGCTGTTCCACACATCGCAGGCTCTGTTCCCACTGCTGGCATGGGGGCCCAGCCACCCACCACTGCCATGGCAGGTAACCATGGCAACACGGCCTATCATGGCAACCAGGCTGCAGTCATGAAGCAGCAGCAGCAGCAGCAGATGCAATTAATGGAGCAGCAGAAACAGTACTTTATGGGACAGCGGCAGCTGATGGCCGAGCAGGTATTGACTGATTTGTTTATTTTTGTGTTCATAGTTTTTTGTTGGAACTATACTTTACTCACAGGCAGCAGTGCTAAACCTGGCACTTAAGAGTATCGTGCTGCAGGTGGACCTTATTTCCCAAACAGTTCCACTAGATGGAGCCGGTGTTCAATTCATCAAATTGAGAGGACTGCTTGAAAACATCTTTGGCTATTCATCCTCTATGCTTCTTTGCAATTTCCTGGTCAGCCTTCCTAGATCTTGCTTTTGAAAGTGGAATTGTCAATTAAGTCAGGGGTCTGACAGGTTTTCTCCTGTCTTGCAAACACAAGGCCTAATCCTGACACGCATTTGTTTCTGTTGCCTTTCATAACTACCCACTACCTCTTCCATAACTGCTTGACATAAACAGAAAAAAATGACAGTACTATCGATTAATAAAGAAAATTACCAATAAAATAGGAACATGAGTTGGAAAATAAAAGGAGTATAAAACGCATTCCCACCCATGACTTATTTCAAGATGGTGGTCAAAGCCGAGTTTATACAGCTTGAACTCTAAATTAAAAATTGCTCTTAAAGCCTTCTTAGCTTGCAGATAACAACCACAACTAATTATTTCACAAAAGGTGTCCCTGAGAAAAACATGAAAAATGATGATAATTTAATTCAATTTAGCTGATTAAAAAGACTATGTACTAAGTGTTGCACAGTGTTCTGGGTTTAGGATTTTTTTTTGTAGAACATTTTCTGCAAAAAGAAAGTTTAGCTTTTGGAAAGAGACCAATGGTTTGGCTGGATAAAACTGGACTAGACCTGATTCTGTGTTGGAACATCTGTAATCGGACTTCCTGGTTGTTGCCGCGGGTGCCGTTTGGCTCTTGTTGGAAGTCTGTTTAAAACCAGGAACAGGAGGCTCTTCTTTAGAAAGGGTTTCTCAGATCCATGAATTGCAAAGGAGATTCACCTACTCTTTTTTGTAACCTGTTCTTATCCTTAAAACAATTCACTGCTCCAGGCAACATTTATGGTATGCAACAGAAAAACCAAGATCTTATGGTTCATCCGATTATTGGTTTACCCATTTTTCTAAGAATCTTATTTTAAAATAACAGAAATATCCATGGATAAAGTTTGGACCAAATATCCAACCGAAAGACTGAACCTGAGCAAAAAGGTGACTCTCAATATATTTTGCCAAGCTTGCTTTGGTCAGGCTTGATCTAGTTTCTTTTACCACATGACTGTGTTGACTCCAGACACCCTCAAGATCATGAGGTTTCAAAACAGATTTAGCTTCTCTGGCTGCTCTTCCTGCAAACCATGACATTCAAGTAGACCTACCATTACAATACATGACATTACAATTACAAAAAATAGCTTTGTCACGTTCACTGGCATCACTGGCACAAACATTAAGAAAGAATGCTTTCTACTTCTACACACTTCTGTCCTATATTGCCACAAGTAAAACATTTGTTGATCGTTGACTAACTGCTTATTTGTTACAATTGGCACAAACCCTGACTAGATGTTTCAGTCCCAGAATGAGGTGTTCAGCAGAATGTGAATTTGTTCTGTTAATTTCCACCTTGTGCAAGAATGCTATGTGCTTATAGTATTATTTAGGAATTGCAAGCCGTTTGAAATGTTTTATTAATTTTGCTATTTCACATCCTATGTCTTTTCCAGACTCATTCAGATACTTCTTAAAACTGACCATGTTAATACCTCAAATTAGATTTTCTAAAGAGAAGTCACACCCCCATGAGACTCATGGTAATTAAATATCTAGCTAAGGAAATACCTGGAAAATAGACCAATTAAACACAACAACCATCAGGAAGAAAGGGGGGAGAACTGTCCTTTTTCCTTCCTGCAGCTCTGCTGGTGTTTCCGATAGCTGCCAGAGACTGAGATGGAAACATAATGAAACATTGTTGCATTGTACATACTGAACATACAAAAGCATCAAGTACTACACTGGACTGTGCTTCTAAGTCAGTGGTCTTAAATGAAATGGAATGAAACGCATAATAATGGGTTATGGATTATCATACAACATACAGAAGACATTTTCTTTATATACATAATATTAAATAATATTCTTTACATGTATAATATATACTTTACAACATACAGAAGATATGTGGTAGTTGCATGCATCTTCATAGTAAAGGTGGAAACGTTCTCTGCTGACTGCAGGTAGTTGGTTATTGATAGCTATAAATCAATCAATCAAGAAGCAGCAAGTGCACGTTACCATCGCAGGCTGAGGTTTTGAGGTAACCATCTGTCCACAGGCAACACTTCGAGATTTCCAACACAAACAAGAATCTTCAGGATACAAACTATCCAACTACCATTTGATCTTGCCTGCTGTTCTGGGGTCAAAAAGTTGAAGCTCTTGTCCAGTGTGAAATATTGTCCGGGGTCTGTTATGTGTCGCATTTGCAGGGCTTGTAGCCCTTGTTAAAATAGAGGGAACGGTGAACTCCCGATGTCTACCAGGGCACTTTGGCCAAACACCTGGTTTCCTGTGCCACACAGATCAAACATGTCTGAAAACATCCAGCAAAGAAATGGTTAATCGTGACAAAATAATTTGACTGTCCATCTCAAAACATCAGACCTTCATCCAATCCAACAATTTTAACATTCATGGTTCAAACTCAAGAAGGCGCTCCCCAAACATAAGCCAAAGGTTCTTAAAGACTTAGAGCAATTTTCCCAGTCTTTAGCAGCAGGTGGTTAAGGAACCAGTGAAACTGTGATTTGTAGTTTGGCTTATTATGTGCTGTTTGTTTCAGGAGAAGCAGAGGCAGCAGCAGGAGCAGCAGCTCAAGAGGCACTTGACAAGACCTCCTCCTCAGTACCAGGACCAGCAGAACCCCTTCCAGACGCAGCAGCAGGTCAACCAGTTTCAAGGTGCTGATGGCAAAAGTTCACAGGGAGCCTCCTTGTAGTGCAGCCCAATGTTTCTTACAGTAAATCTCCCAAGAGCCTAGACTGTGCTAGTGCTGTTGAATGCGTTGTGCTGTGAGAAGACTGTCGGGCAGATAAAAAGTGTTCATTTGATTTGGACTGCAATTAACAAGTATGACGTCTTATTTTTTGGCTATATGTTGACTTTTGTCAAATTTCTTTCAATTTGGTAGTGGAATACACCACAAGGGATCACTGTTGTCATGTAATTTTCTTAAAGGAAGCACTTCCCTTTCTTCTTGTTATATGCGTTTTGTGATTTTGCTGTGAAGTACATTTGTTTGTGGTAAATAATTATGCCACCTTATATTCAAAATGCCTCCGTAAATTTGAATGACCAGCCAATACGCATGGCTTAAGAGGGTGTGTAGTCAAATTTCGAGGGAAAAAAACATCCCAGCATGATGTGTGGGGGCTTTGTTATACTGAGTGCTCTTTTTGTTTGTTTAAAGAAGGCATACCGAAAAGGGTTTTATGCTACTAAAGTGAAGATAGAATTTTATGGGCTTTTCATTTTGTTTTTTGTTAGAGACACATGCTAGTTTTATTTCATTTTTTTAAGTTAAAAAAATAACATAATTTAAAGTTTGTTGGTCCCACGTTATCACAGAAGTATGAAGGATTCAATCAAGTGAGACAGTATTGGTGTGGAAAATAAATGTTTGTGACTTAAAGTAGTTACTGATCTTAAACGGACTCCGATCTGCATCTTGAAACTATCCGCTCAATATTTACTGCATCTTTATCAGTAGGGGAAAACCAGATATTGCAATTTTTTCCACTGCAGCTTCTCTAAATCCATAAACATTTCTAAGTACTTGCTTTCTAAGCACATTATTTTATTGTTCTGTCTTGTTTTTGCAGGATCCAATCCAGCCTTGGCTAATGTGGGGAATTTAGGGGTTCCAAACAATGGTGCCCAGCGGATGTTCCCTCAGACTCAGGGAATGCTGCCTATGGGTGTTGGACAGACAGGAGGCCCCTCTTCTGCCCCGTCAGCTGCAAGCCAAAATGAAATGGGCATGCCTGCATGCAGCGGTCTGGACAGTGTTCAACCAGTAATGTACAATAACATGGGCTCTGGTATGAATCAGATGCATCCTCACTCGGCTCAGCAGAGTTCGGTAAACAATGCTCAGTTACAAAGGCAGACAGTGGCAATGGCCCCAAACAGTACTATTTCTGGGGCCTACAGGCAGGGCCCAATGGCAGGCTCTGGGTTGGCGGCTCAGCAGCACCACAAGGGACCTGCTAACCCAGGCTTAATGAAGCAGCAAATAGCGAGGATGCCCAATAGCATGAGTGCTCAGCCTCAGTCTTGGCCGCACCAGGGAATGCAGGGCATGAACAACCAAACCCCAGGCGGTAATGGCGGACTGGCAGCCTTTAATAACCCAGGATTCCACATGCCGCCGCGACACCCCAAGATGCCCAATCAGCAATTTGCCCAGGCTGGCTTGGGCGGCAGCCGCCCCATGCCGGCCATGAACTCAGCTGTCGCCGGTCAGATGATGCCCACTTTGCCGCAGCAAAGGACAAATCAGCCCCCCCCCCAGCAGCCGCATCCGCAGCCGCCGCCGCCGCCTCCTCCCCAGCAGCCACAGCAGCAGTCCCAGCCTGTTGTCTCCAATATGAGCCAACCTGTGCCAGACCTGACCAACTTCGGACAAGCTCAGAATCCCCAGTTAGCCAATCGGGCTAGTCTGCACTGTAGTCAAGGCTACCAGGTTAATCGGACCACCAATCAGGAGTTGTCCTTCGGTTATAATGCGCAGTCAGGCACTTTATCAAGTTTCCCGGGTGACGGGGACCTGATGGACACGCTGCTGAAAAGCCGGACTACACAGGAGTGGATGGACGATTTGGACGAGCTGTTAGCAAATCATCACTGAGCTGGACAGTGTTTCTTTTTCTAAAGAAAAAGAGGCATATAGGCAGGACCAAAAGCCTGTGGTATTAAATGTGTTCCCGGGACTGGAAATAAATTCTGAATTATTTACTACTGATCCTGTGGGTCAGTATTAAACCACTGATTCCATTAACTATGCAGGGATGAACAGTCTTTTTTTGTTGTTTTTGAAGTTGCATCCCATTTCTACATTGCTTTATAAAAAAGAATTGTTTGAAATCAATTGGGGTATCATAAGTGGGCTATCGGATTAAAAAAATATAAACTTCAGGTCATTAATTTGAAAGGTGCATTATTTGCTGAAAGAGAACTGCCAATTTTTTTTCTTCCAATTTATTCCACATCCTGCGTGTGGAAGCCATTGAAAATTGAAAAGCTGATCTTACCCTACCCCTCATGAATCTGTATGTAATAGTTAACATACTACATGTCTAAGCTGGGATCAGGCTGTCACTTAGGATAGGTAAATTATCAGTACCCCTTTTATGTGACAAAAAAAGGAAATCGCCGTAATAGCTGCATGCAGTATTAGCTGTTAATAACATCTATGGCCATCTTTCACTTTAGAGAACCATGGATTTAATATGATGTCCAAGAGGCAGAAAGAAGTAAGCTGATATCCACTTGTATAAGACACAGTGAAACTATATAGTTAACACCAGGTTTCTGCCTGTTTTGGGTCTGAGCATGCCAAGCCAATACAAGCTAAAAAGGGAGGAAACCCACATATAGTTAAAAATATATATATTTGTAGCAAACAACCCTGTATATTGTCAAATGGTTTGTGCTTGATTTTGTAACATAATTGCAAGAATAAGTAATTGAAATCAACAGAACAGTTCACAGCTTATAAAATTATAACAAATATTCACAACAAGTTCAACACTGGAGATAGGACAGTTGTCTCTGGCAAATCTAAATGCACAATGGATCAGAAATATCGTCAAACCTGAGGAACCTTTAAGTTTCAGTTGCATGTGAAGTACTATTTAGTTTTCTGTGCTACGGAATCAAGTCTATAAAAACTTGGTTATGCAAACCTTTGTGAATAAGATAAGAAATGAGATCACTTTAATAGTCATATACAATTTCTTGCATTAGGAATTTGTCTTTTTTCGCATACCCCAGCTTACTCTCCATGAGACACAGGCACACAGACGGAGAGAAGCTGGGGGTCAGAGCGCGGGGTCAGCCGTTGTACAGCACCCCTGGAGCAGTTGGGGTTAAGGGCCTTGCTCAGGCGGTGAGATTTGAACTGGCAACCTTCCAGCCACAGGCGCAGATCCCTAGCCACAGTGCCACTGCTCCGCCCCTGTTTTTTAAAGATAAGAATGGCCTCTTTTGTTGCCCTGTTAGAAAATAAAATGGCTTCATTTCCAAATTTCAGTGTTTTTGCTGTGATTACTGAAAGGCTGATTTTTTTTAACTAAACTGTCTTTGAGTGAATCATCCCCTTTTCATTACTTTTGAAGAAGTTGACAATCTGCAGAAAAGATAAGATTTCCACATGGTTAAATACAATGTTGCTTGTTTCTCTTCACACCTAAAGGGCTTGAGGACTTGTGTGTTCCGCAACGTCTGCTGCAAAAACCCATAATTGAGTTTGCTTTTTATTTTCTTTCAAGGGAGGGTGGTGTGTCTTTTTTTTTGTTCATCCTTGTATATGTCAGGGCTTCTTCTAGTGTATTTATATATATATTGTTTGTATGCATACCCTGTTGGTCAGGAGAAAATAGAACTTATTTTTGTAAGTACATTGGATTTTTTGTAAGTATTTTATACTTTTATTAACTAGAGGACTCTGTAAAACAAATAGAAGTATTGTGTAAAATAAAGTAATTTAGACACTGACAACATTTGTGGACTCTTATTCAAGAATGTTAATTAAGAGCATCTGATTGAGCTATCTGTAATCTGACAGTACTTAAATATGCATTAGATCTGTATTGATCTGAATTGTATCAAAGTGTCAACTGCTCAATCTTGTACTACTGTATCTACCACTTCGTTTTGCACTATACTTATCTAATGTTCCGTATTTGACCTTCCCATTTACTAATTTTAAACTAGTTCTAATTTCTCTTTTTGAAAACTTCAATTTTAATATGCTGATGAACAGTGAAAATGCAAGTTCAAGTTTTATAGCAATAGCTCCTCGGTCAGGAATGTTATGTGCATCTTAAATGATTTGTTGATAGACTAGAATTTTTCATTTGGTTAATACTGACCTCAAGTCCAGGATTTAATTAAAAAAAACTTTTTTTGAGTTGAGTTAAATGAGCATTTGGGTAATTAGCCATCCAGATTGGTGACATTTTAATTAATGCAGGAATAGTAAAATATGAATATTCCACAGTGGAGTACTTCAGATTCGTTGGTTGCTTTTGGAAGTATGGAGATCAGCCTCTCTGTGGGTGAAGTTATCCAGTGAGGAAGATGCTCTAAATCAACAATTACCAGACTAGCTCAGAGAGGCAAGGAACTACACTAGCCCAGGACCTTTCTGTTCATGTGAACCTTCTGCATAATTATTTCAGGCTGCAGTAGCTAAAGCATGAGCCAGGCAGAAGTAACATCAGCAAAACGAGTGCAGCTCATTATGGTTAGAAAAGCCATTTGGGGGTTAACATTGACTGAAAAACTGGATTGCCATCTTGTTTGAGTGATGGAAGTGAGTGTGGTTGATGGTTTTGTTTGCTAATGAATGTCATTTCACCCCTGACGGACAGAATGGAAGGCCGTGTTCATGGGAACATGCAAACATTCTGACTTGGATTGTTGGGGGAGACGTAGGTGAGGTAGGAAGTAAACTCCATAAGTCCTGTAAGACCTTATGTTGCATATATCCAGCAATGTTACAACATTCAAACTGTTTAATGCAATTAGGAGAGAAAATCCACTGTCATGTCTCAAGTGTTAATACAAGAACATCATTGGTACAAATTTGATATCAACCTTTGTGCTCAGTTCATGTAAAGGTACCTCCTTTTAACTCGTGGATAAATCTTTATTGAGGCTTTTCTGATTTAGGTCATATAATAGCATCTTGCTGTGTGGCTGTCTGAACTTCCGTCATGGTGCGACATTGATTCATTTACTGCTTTCTCGCAGGCTGTCTGCAGAAGCATTTGGTAATGCAGCACTGAGCAATTACCGAATGTAGTGTAATTTGATCGTGTTGATTAGTGGGTTTAGGGCTCTACCGTTCTTGATATTGAGATAATTCTTCTCCAACCATGGGTTTTAAGCATGCACAGGGATTATTTTGATTTCATTTTCTTGTCTTATGAGATTCTCGTCTATGGACTGCTTCCTTTATTCAGTTTTAACAACTATATACAACTTTTTCTGTTCTAATGATTTCTTTGCCTGGTTGGCTTAAAATGTATTCCTTTTAATACTAATAGACAAATCATTATAACTCTCCTGAGTGAATATGTTTAGAACCAATTTCACATGTTAGCCCACCTACCAAGTTCTCTGGGGCTTATTAGAACTATTCCAGATTTTGTATGACCTGTTCTTTCATTGCTTAGGATAGATAAATTGTTAAAATTATTTATTGTGGATAACTTGAGCTAGTGGAGAGCCCTGTGACATTAAAATGATGTTTCTCAAGCATGCAGTTGTTCTGTAGTCCCAGAGGATCTATGCTATCATTTTTAAGTCTCTGGTAGTTGCTCTTTAATCAGGACCTTTCATCAGTGCTTTAATGTGTAAGGTCAGCCTATGACAAACTGCTCCTTCTGTGCCTCATTTTTTTAATTTCTGATTTTGTGCCAAACATTTGTTAATGCTCTTCTCTTTAATATGACACAATCTTTAAATTGATCTTCAAGAGTTTTGTTTTTTCATTAATGGCCATTAATGTCAGAGCCGTGCTCCCTTTTCCTGAGTTCCATCACAGTTAAGCATTTTGGAATTTAGAACTTTTAGTTATAAAACCTGCCCTTTCGTGTCCTGTCAGCCACATACAGAAAACTGCTCTCTTATAATGAATACATTTTAGTTTAATCCCTTATGTTGCAGGGATTAACTTTCAGAATCTGATGTTTCAGTCTAGATACTTTCTCTTCTAGTGATTCCAAAGTAAGTTTATTTTCATTTAAAATTGGAAGAGAATACATTTTGTTTTGTTGGGTACTGAACTATGCTATTTTCATTTCACTAACTGCACCAACATGAATATGCAAAACACACAAGTTGCATTGTCTATTTTTAGTGTCATACTGGTAGTAATACTAAAGGGCTTTGAGAGCTTGCACACATCCAGTGCTTATCACAAATTCCTTGAAGTGCTACTCAGAGTTTCAAATGAATTCATTATCGTATACTGAAAGCAAGCATTCATATGCTGTGGTTTTGGCATCATGTCTGCACTTACCAACAACAAACAGGTTGTTGCTCAGAAATGATAAATTGTATTTGTGTGCTTTTCAACAACCTTGTGAAAAATACTTTTTCTGAAGGAAAATTGCTTGCATGTATAAAACAAATAGGCCACATGATAAGCAATAAAAGGGCATTTACATTTTAATGCATTATCAAAGTGTCCTTTTTACATTGTAGAATATGCTAAAAGTAATAGTAGCTTGTTTTATTTGAATCTGTTGCCTTTGGGATGTGAAAGTAGTGTCTAATGTAAAGTACAAGTGCTACCTCTTATGCTTTTTTAAATGTACTGTAGCTTATCTCTCATTGTACACATATGTAGCCTATTCATATGATGTATATATCAAATGATACTCAAACACTATGGTTCTATTCCAGGAGGTTAAGACAAATGATTAGATTCATGTTAATAAAAAGCAAAACAGCTGGTAACATTCTGTGAACTGCAACAACACAAGCAGTTCATTCTAACAGCACCCAACTGAGTACAAAAACTGAAGGATTTTAGCCCTTTGATTACTTAGTCTGAAAGTAAGGGAATTATTTTCCTAGATTCAGTTACTTATGTAGTTGAACTTTACATTAAACATGGTATCTTCACATTTCTTTATTTTTATTAATACCATACACTTAATTTCCTGCTTTATTTCCCATTCTTTATGTTGCATCCCTGCTATTGTTTTCTTTCAAGGTTGATTAGATTTTAACTATTCCAATAAAATAAAAAGTAGTATGTGAAAAATTCTAACAGTCTTGTCAGTAAATGAAATGAGAAGGGATATGTTCTGTTCAGACTTTGGTGAAAATGCTGTTGGACACAGCAAGGCTAATCTGAAGCTCTTGAAAGACATCTCAAGATAAAAATACATTTGTGCTAGTCAATACTGTGCTCAGTCTTATGGAAAAGCACAGCAGATAATAATGGGGTATCAAAATAATACTTTGTGCAACAAGTACTAAACATTAAGTGATATCTTGGTTTATCAGATTCAAACTCCGCCAGAACACAGTTCACATTTAAAACTGTAAAAGGAAACTGTACTCTTAGATGCACTTATAACCTTGATTTGTCTCTTAGACCTATTTTTCTTCTGTTGCTTTTTTAAAAAATCAATACACAAAATTGAGATGAAAGGTTTTGGTACTTTGGCCAACAAATTTTATTTAAACATTTAGGGTGTTGGGATCTCAGGACAAAATGCAGTATATGAGTACACTAATGTCATTTTTTAGGTTTTGACGTCTTTGTCTCCAATGCTCATTTCTATGAAAATTAGGAATGTTATGGTATCCAAGCCACTAGCTGGAATGTCATAGTCAATTATATGTATAATGATGTTTTCTGATGCTGATGTTTTCTGAGGTCAAGGATGAAGATTTAAGTGTCTCATCAGCAACTCCTTAGACGTTCTTAAAATCAAAAGAACACAATTCAATGTGTTGAACTTTCAGGACCATTTTAGCTGTTCTTTCTCTGTCTATTTTTAGAATGCATGCTGGTCATTAGGGTGATGTGTTTTACTTTTTTAATTCACTTGGGAGAAAAGGATGAATTCTAGTCTCCAATTACTCATCATAATTCTGAACCTGCTAAGAGTAAACCTCCCTGACTAGAATATCTATCGTGCTGATTTGTACCTATGACTCTTATTCAGGGGCTGAAGTTGAAATCATTCTAATCTGTTTTTAATATGGATAGTTCTTTATATATATATAAGGCCATCTTACTTTTTTATATCGCTGTGTAAATGAATTAAAAACGACAGAACTCTTTTTTACTGTTGATGTTTAAATGGGATGTTTTTAAGGATGTAACTGAGGCGCCACCTGTCGTACATTAGTAATCTGATTGTAGAGGAAGGCTCGCCTGAAATTGCTGCGGAAATGATAATACGCTTTCAGTGGCAGCTCTGTGCGCGGTCATGACCTGAATAAAAACAATTCGCCTTAAGAGCTGTAGATTGGGGAGATCTCTCATTGTGGCGCTCGTACCTCACCCACAGAGGCAGAATGCACGACCAGATGGTGTTCGTGGCTGCTGTAACTGTACTGGGAGTGCTTGAGCAAGGTAAGGAGAAACACCGTAGTCTTTTCAGCATATTTACATTGATTGACGGGAGTGCTATAAAGCTTCCACTGCAAAATTAAACCAAAGTGCGTTTATTTTGAAATAATAAAGTTGCAATGACGTTTAAGGAGCATCTTTTCTCAGCAATCAGGAATTTATTAATGTTCGTTTTCTAATCATATCGTCTTTGTAAAACAATAAAGCTATGCCCCAAGACTAGTTCAAAATGTTTAAATTTAAACATTTTTCTTTAACCTATATTGAATAAATATCTTATTATAAATGAAAACGAATTGAACACTAAATAATTTAGACAGTTTTTTTGTTACCTTTTACTCTATATTCTACAAGCGGTATTATTTTTAAAAAATGTTATTTTTTGTGATTAGGTAAATGCATAATCCACACAACGGGGGAATTCCAGTTGAGCAATATCCAATATTATCTACAACATCCAGATTTCCCAGTATTGTCTAGACAACTCATGGGTTATCAGAGTCCAAAGCAATTAATTAAGAAGTTACCCAGTTTGCAATTATTTAATTTACTTAATTTTGTAAATTTGTTACAACAACAATTATGCACTAAATTAAAAATCATGGGGAAATTCGGGATTGTCGAATAGGACAGGATGTTGCAGTTGTTCTTTAGCGCAGGTTACCAAAATGAAAATGCCCGGTAAATAACATGTTGTCTGAATGGGCCTTTAGGTCATGATTGTAAATTAAGTTAATACAATAAAATGAGCACTAAGAAAAGAACGACGTATTCCTGGTTAACACCTACATCCAAAGCACGTTATTTTATTTTATTTCAGTGGGTTAAGCCGTAATATTAGTTGCACTAGTTTATTAGTTCTCAAAGTAACTACCAAATAATCTGGTAACGGTTAGTTTCAGGTTCTGGTTTAGTCTGCATTGTGCTATTTCATCGCATGTTTTTCGCGTGTGGAATTTTACAGATAAGTAATAAACGCATTGAAACTAATTTCTGCCTCATTTTATTTTTAATCATGTGTTTTTAATTGGGTAACCTCATAAAGAACGATGGTTGGAAGATTTAACCTCTCACTTCATGCATACTTTGTGAAATATGTAAACCCTCACAAAAAAATCATTTTTTTTGCTGTTTGAATAGAAAGGAACCTGAGTCTTTTCCTGTTATGTCTTATTTTCTCACTACGCAGAGTTTAAAGTTTGGTGACCTTCCTTAAATCTTTCCCTTTACACTTTAAGCCTTAGAGAAGTGTCTTGTTCTTTTAAATTTATTTTTAAATTAGTTCATGTTTAAAAGCATTAATGTCAGCCAAAGCCAAAATGTAGAGGAACTGACGACAGACTTTGTCTGGCAAGCAGAGTTACTTGTAACCACTTTGCCTTAATCACAGTGACCCTTTATAATTTTTTTTATATTTTTTTCAATGGTACTATTAATTTTAATATTTTGTCTCTAAAACTGTACTTAGCATTACCTACCAATTACTACAACCGATTGTACAGTCATAACTGTTTTAATTTCTTAAATGTCAGGTTTTTTAAAAGTTGCAGGTTTATAGAAAACAAATTAAAATGTCCTCACTAATCATGGAGCAGGCATATACAGTAGCACAGGCAGTTGCAATCTGAGGTACCTCACAGTGGGCTATCAGACAGGTTCTTCAAGTCAGGACCATGGGTCATGCTCCGAGGTGCTAAGGGAGAAGATGGGTTTAGGTGATTTCTTGGTTGCTCCATGCAGCTTTTTTTCAATTTAATTCAAAATACTTTATTCATCTCCAGGGTGTTAATTTAAGCTTGTTCTGAAGTAATTAGTACTCATATGGCCAGCAGCCATATCACTCTGCAACTCACAACTGGCAACCCACTGAAGCTAAGCAGGTGTGAGCCTGGTCAGTACCTGGATGGAGACCTCCTGGGAAAAACTTAGGCTGCTGCTGGAAGAGTTGTTAGTGGGCCCAGCAGGGGGCGCTCACCCTGCGGTCCATGTGGGTCCTAATGTAAACAGGCGCCGTCCTTCGTATGAGACATAAAACTGAGGTCCTGACTCATGTGGTCATTAAAAGTTCCAGGGCACCTCTCGAAAAGAGTGGGGGTGTGACCCCGGTGTCCTGGCCAAATTTCCCATTGGCCCTTATCATGGCTTCCTAATAATCCCCCTCTATGAATTGGCTTCATTACTCTGCTCTCCTCCCCACTGATAGCTGGTGTGTGGTGATTGTTCTGGCGCACTATGGCTGCCGTCGCATCATCCAGGTGGCTGCTGCACATTGGTGGTGGTGGAGGGGAGTCTGTATTACCTGTAAAGCTTTTTGAGTGAAAAAAGAAAAAGCGCTGTATAAGCAATGATCATCATTGACACAAAAGTATTTTGCTGCGTGATCATTGGCTGGGTGGGAATGTATGATGGAGAGATGACAGCACACCTCCAACAGGAGTAATCTGAGACAAAAGGAGCTTCAGTTAAGGCAAAAGTGTTCATCTAGGGTGTCAAAAAGACTGTATAACACAACATGCATCTTAGTTCCCTTCCCAGTAATTGCCAACTTCAATATGCTACAATTTCACCAAAAGAGTCATTAGGACTGAACAAGGGTTATATAGCCTCGTTTGTTCTAATCAGATGCAAATCAACTAGAATTGTGCTTTTAGCGCTGCAGGAAATAACTATTGAGTCACATAAGGTTATTGACCTTCATGTATGAAGTCCAAAATTGTACATAATGTTGGAGACATTTCCAAAATCTTGGACCAGTCCCATTGTTTGGCTCAGTGTGGAAATTCTGTAGAAATAAGGAGGAAGACTGGATGTAGATGTGGGGAATTGTTTATTTCCAAAACAAATAATCTGATAAGGTCTTTTGAGGCTTATACTGTTTCAGGGAAAAAGTAACACTATGCTGTATCTTTGTTCCTGTTTTTAAAAAAGGCAGTGAATATGGCTGATGAATGCAGATTGTTCTTACATTTGCGTTTGGTTTATTAGGACAAAATTATTTCTTAATCTGGTCAACAACATCATGTCGCTGTGGTACAAAATTGATCACATTAGGCTAAGGATGAAAACTTCTTTAAATAAACAGCAAGTTTATATGACCCAGTTGTATGCTTTAATGTTTTTTACCAAATATAGACTTGTCATTGTGTCATGAACAGTGTTATTCACGTTTGTCATGTGCCGTCTACTAAAACTGTGAATATGTCCAGTTCTAGGAGGTCAAAGAAAAGGCAGATTATTCATTGTCCTATGACATACATTTGTACATAGGATCCCTTGTGGTCTTTAGGTCATATTTGTTGCTACAAATAGATTAGACTTGCCCATTGGTAAATTTCTCAAACTGAGGAGTAGTGTTCTAAAGACCTAAATTCATTAAACAGTTAAAATTGTAGTTCTTTTCTTGAAGTTACTGTTTTTTTATATAAGGGTATATGAAAATAAATATATTGAAAGTATGGCAGGCTGTATGTGAGGACAAGGCTGAGAAGCTCAACACCCCCCCACACACACACATACCTCCCCTCAGTATGAGGAATGAGCCAGGGAGCTGCTGCAAGGGTGTAGATGGGGTGGAGATAGAAGCTCAAAGTACTTGGCAGTGAGATATTATTCGTAGGAGAATGGAAGTAGGCAAGTTTAGGAATTTGACCTCCTCCTGAGCTTGTTAAAATCACCACTGATGTTAAAGATGACACCATTAAGTAAGATGTATGCAAAGGATCTTAAAGGCTTGCTGATTTGTTTGTAGAAAGTGGAAACCATCGAAAAAGACCCTGAAATGGCATTTTGGTGCATATTGTCTTTATTTTCTTAAGCAACATCTGTCCGGTCTAAAAACCCTAGACAGTTTTGATAGCTAATGTTGTGCAGCCTTTCAAAACCGAACACAGAAATCCTTTCCTTGGTCTCTTGCCTCTGTACAGGCTGACTATTCAAGCAAAAAGACTCTCCACCCCTGTGTTGTCACTAATCAAATTCTTGATGTGATTAAAACAAAACTAAAATATTTATATACTGATATAGACACCAATCATTTGATTCCTGCCTTGACTGACAGCTGTTTCTCCCCCTCTCTCCAGCTTACTTCTCTCTCCAGGTGATCTACGCTAGGCGGAAGTATTCAGTATCCCCTCCATGCATTACAGGTCCTCCGGAGTTTGAAAGAGTGTTCAGAGCACAGTAAGCCAAGAGGAAGTGATTGACTCACTTCACAAGATCAACATGATAAAATAAATATACATCAATAAAGCATGGGCGTAATGACATGGAAATCTACAGGGGCTAAAACTACCCTGCAATAAGTCAAAACAAAAGGTTAAAAAAGCTGTCGCTATTATAAAGATGAGCAGATATTTCTGTATAAGTCAGAAGGCAATGCTCTTAATTGTGCTAAGATGATTCATTAAAAAATCTGTCATTTACATGTAATATCTGCTTTTCTGAATACAGATAAAGGTACTTTTATTAGTGGTAACTTTATATTATCTAGTATTGAACTACCTATCTTGTGTTATCTGAGACCTTCAAAATGTAGACAAAACCACATTCTTAATGTAACAAAACTTTTTTTTTTCAGAGCCAATTGTTCTGAGTATTTCCCAATCTTCATTGCCATACTGTGGGTGTCTGGGCTCTATTTTAACCAAGGTAAAGACATAAAATAAATGTATATGCACTTTACACGTAACCTCAAAAATCTTTGGGTTACTGAATTTCGAACTGAAGTTCTGATAAAGAGGAAACTATAAAACCACTGGAATTAAGAGGAGCATTGACTAGAAGGCAAAGAGTCTGTCGTTAAGAGAAGGGGGAAGGTGGGATCATAGTTTCTGGATAATTTTGGTTTCGGATGTCTTTCTGCAGTGGGAGTTGAGAAACCCCTCTTTGAGAAAGCAGACTGAGAGATCAGTTTGATCATGGCTGTTAGAGGTGAAATGAGAAAATATGGGCTTGGAGAGATCTCTCCAACAGCCCTGACATGTTCCGTGACATATATCCAATACCATGCTCATTCAAGGCCCGTCTGGACCATTACGATGACATCTTGTACGACCAGCAACCTTATTTACTGCAGAAAATGCCCAGCTATCTACAGTTCATTGGGGAAACAGGAAGGAGACTGGCAGACCGCTTTAGGGATCATGTCAAGACAGTGAGATCACACCTGAAACTAGGATCACACCTTCTCCCTTCTCTCAACAACAGACTCGTTTCATTCTAATCCTCTATATTGATTTGCAGGTTTTGATTTTACACCTCTCTTCACCTCTCTCGACTTCGCACCACCTGAGTGCCCACTCTGCCTCCCTGCTGCTCCTGCCTCCTCTCCACTCCCAGCTTTTGTTCTCCTATGCGGCTCACTTTCCTCTCTTTCTCACACCCGAAGAAGACTCCACAGCTGAAATGTTGTTTTTCTTTTCTTCTCTTTTCAGCATGGAATAAACCTTTAGTTGTTTCTTTGCAGCTTATGCATGCTGACAGAGCTACCTACTTTAACTGCTTCAGTGGTACATGTATTTGTTTTTTTTTTCCAGGATTGATTATTGTAATGAAAATGAACTGTTTGTGCTGGTGTATCCAAACTTGCTTTTAACAAGTTTGCAATATCCTCAGAACTCAGCATTTCAGGTCTTCAGATTCAAATGCATAATAATATATGGCATAACCTATAACCCTAATGTAGTATATTGGCTTCTTTAGATTATAGGTATAAAAAAATGCTTGATTTGTTTATTCCTGTATGAACCTGCTCCTAATTACCTCAGATCATTTCCATAGTCAATTGGATTTTTTGTTTTTCATGAATGCAATTCAGTTTTGGTGATTATAATTTGCTTGGTAGATGCCGTTATCCAGTTTAAAGTGATCAGCAATGATTGTGTAAAACATTGCTTTAGTGAGACTGCTGTAGTACAATTCCTCCAGAACTCAGTGCTTCCTCACACCAGTCTAACACCACATCTGGTATAGATGACCAGTGAGCCCATCCCCAGTGTTTTGCTTTCCTTTTGCAGGTACTTAATATATTAATCTGGCAATACTAACAGTTTATAAGAGAATGGGTTTGATATGCATCTTCCCTTATAACTATAGATGGTGTTTAGGAAAGTTTCTTTAAAAAAATGGTTTTTATTTTTAAAGAATTTCCTGTGCATTCAAAGTCTTCTGAGTAATGTGCTTCTTGGAAAACAAGCTTGACAATTAATGTTATGTGATTAAAACATTTCAACTTCATGGTATTTTCCTTGGCAGCTTTCAAAGGTCTTATCAGAGTTCGCACCTAGAGGATGTCACAATGTTTAGCTAGCAGCTTTAACACTGATGCTATCAATTCTTATCAATTCTATTCAAGTCATTTTCTAGCTCACTAAATTATTTAACTTCAGTAAAGGGGGGATAAAATAATTTGAAAAGTTTGCTTTTATGGTTCTGCAGTTATGTGATGGATTCATGAATTATATTCATTAATATATATTTATATATATTAAAAAAACTAACCTTAATTTAATCTATAAAAATAATCTCAAATGTGAGTTGTAACTCATTCAATAAAGTATAATATATAGTATGAACAAAAAGTAGATAGTTTTGGTCTGAATCTCTGACCATCTTCTGAGTAACGTGTGTGAACCATGAGGGGAGTGGACTGCAAAACTGAGTCACCAAGCAACGAACATGGTGGAGTCCGTTACCACAAGTGTATGGCACTTTCTTGGATATTAATGATGTTACAGCACTGCATGCACATAGTTTACAAAAAGAAAAAGTAAATGGAACAGTGCGAGAATTATCTTCAGCCAGGAGGATAGCTTTTAATCAGTGAGAATAAAGGAAATATTTGTCAAGTCCCATGAAATTCTGTTTTGAAAATTTGTACCAGCAACTCTGAAATGTTTAGCCGTGAATTGTTCATTGCTGATGTTGTTGTGAATTGTGAATACACATACAATTTAATGATCAGTGCTTCTGACCAGAAATTTGATTTTCTTCACATTTTATTTGTAGAAATCACCAAAGTAATCTATATATCAATCACATACCCACATACCCCTAATAGCAAAATAATTCCGGTACACTGGGATTTACAGGCCCTTTGTAAGTGTAAGAATCAGGCCGTTACTGCCAGTCCTCCAGTTAAAGGGAAGAGCTCCAACAGTAACAATGTGTTTTCTTTCGTTCCCAGCTGCTGCATCTCTCTGTGGGCTCCTCTACCTCTATGGCCGATACCAGTATTTCCGGGGCTATTCCAAGTCAGCACAGGGAAGGTAGGGATGATCTGGTGTGGGATTATTGAAAAGTGTCATTAAAACTCCCAGGCGGTTGTGCTCAAGCATTATAATTACAACAGCAGTCAGTCACACTGATAAACGAATGATTTACTACTCTTATATTTCTTACCAATAAAGAATGGGCTGCATTTGAGAAGTCGTTTGCGGTGGTAAAACTGAACTGGACTGCTTAGCAGAACACCCACTTCAATCTGAATTGGTCTGAAAACCTACCTTTTGGGAGTGCTCACCTCGTCAGAGAAACTTGATCTGTTTTCAAAGTTGTAATGATTGGCCTGTGTCGTGCAGTAGTCCGGTTTTTGGAGGTGTTATTTTACATTAAAAAAGGAAAATGCATTGTGAAGGAGAGCACAAAAAATCTAAAGAGAACACCTGGGGGCAAAGCCATAGCTCAAAGGGAGTAGAGCAGAAGATATCTGCAGCTGTACCTCAGCATTTTCCCTAGTTTGTTTGCCTGGGATAGTGTTTAACATTCCCATGTTGTCTGGAGAAGAGAGCAGACAGTTTTGTGGGCACGTAGCAGGCAGGATGGCTCTTCTCATTCACACTCTGCTAAAAGCATGGATTTTCAGGAATGCTTTCAATTAATAGCAAGCGAGAGAATTTCTTTATAGAAAGTGATGATAAACTTAGCCAGCAAGTCTGCACAATGGAATTATTTTTCCATTCAAATTGCACAGATCCTTAAAAGATATAGAACAATATATTGGCAAACATTCATCAAAGATCACGAGAGCCTTAAAAACAGGCAGTTTCATTCTAAACTATCCTATTATATGCAGAGTGAGATTTTATCTTCTTGTGCAGCTCTCGGCTAATGATGCTTATAATCCTGTACTAGGTCCTCCATTTCTCTCAATCTCAAGATTTCATTCCTGACTCTTCTCATCCTGCTCCTCTCTTGTTCACTTCCAGACTGGCTCCATTGTATTTCAGCGCTAAAATGCTGTGGGTCTTAATTGGTCTTTCTTCGGCTGGGGTCATCAACTACATGTGCCAGCTATACCTGGAAGTGGATTTCCTTCGCTATCTGAAGCAGCTCATTGGACTGTAGTGGGAAAGAGCCAGAGGCTGGGGGAGATCTGTTGGCTCGCTTCCGCAAGAAACAAACAAAAAACAAACCCCACACTTGCTGACAAGGGGATTACTCTTTCTTGATGTCTTGATAAATGTGATGCCCATCTAAGTTCTCATGTAATGTGTTTCATGCTGCACAAACCTTGACCTAATCTCTTGTTGAAAACTGCATGTGTTCTCCAGGAATGGGTTCCATTGCTCAATATTGATTTCTTTACTGTTGAAGACTTGCAGACTAAAATGGATCTAGATCCCTGAAGCATGACCTTTAACTGTGTGCTCCACAGGTTTCTGGCATGGCGGGCTTTATGAGTTACATTTTGTTTTGATGCAATTCATTTTCTTGCCATTCTCTTGTCAGCCTATAGCCCAAGATGAGAAATAATGACTCTTTCTTTGCTGTTGTCAGGACTTTACATTGTTAGTTTGCTGGTGATTTTTTCTGGTAGATTGTTTTATTGCTTTCTAAGAATTGGTTCATAAAAAGCATATTGTGTTACAATATTATAAGAAAAATGCGAATTAGTGTTTTCTATGGAAAGCTTTGCATGCAATAAGGGTTGGTAAAAAGTGAATAAGCAAAGTGTTAATGCAGCTTTTTAAGTTCTACCTAAAAGCAACATATTTTACATGTAAGATTTTAGCCCACGCAATATTTTGTAAAGAAAATTGGAGGAGGAAATACTCCCCCTTTTCAGGAAACATGTTTCTTTGTGTTGTCCAGAATGTTACTTGGGTCTATTTACCTAATCTTTTCCTGTGAAACATTCCTTAAAAATGTTTTTCTTGGGACCAGTGTCTTATTAACCTAGTTCCCCTGAGGACTTGAAAAACAGAAATTATTGTTTTTTTGCATATACATAAAATTTGATTTCTTAATACTTTCATTACCTTGAATTTGATAGAACTTTTGCGGCCAACATTTTTTAAACTTATTCAGTGAAAGGTTTAATGTGATAGTCATTTTCCCTCATACCACTTGCTTTTTTTGCTCTGTATTGTTATTGTTTATTGCTGTTTATAGAAAGAGTAGCTTCACCCTTGTGAGATATAAAGTTACTAATTTGTCCTGATCTGTGTTTTGTTACTTATATCATTATTTGGATAAAAATCCTTTTCTTTTTCAGATGACATCATTGAGTGTGTCATTTTATGAACGCAGCACAAAACTTTTCACATTTACTGCATTTGCTTCATGGGGAAAATGAAGAACATGTTAGACTGAGCATTCAACAAGATCAGGATGACCACATTTTTAGATGTGGTCACATGTTTCACTTTATATCTTTAATGATATTATTTTAGTTATGTGAACGAATAGTTCAGCTGCCAAGAATTTACCTCCAAATTGTGAATAAGGCTGGTGAAGTACAGCCCCGTTTCCAACAGAGGGAGCTATTGGCCTTGAAGTCTTTTCTGTCAGATTTAGTTGTTCAAAGGAGGAGACTGTTTTGGCCCCTATGGCTTGTTTGATTTCCACTAGGCAATTCAGTTTCTTTAAAAATAAAAACAGGGTATTGACTTTGACGTGACTGAGTAACATGTTCGATACTCCCACATCTCTTTGTGTAAAGAAGTTTCTGTTGTTCTCAGCTTTAAATGTACTTCTCCTTCTCCATGTGTGTCCTCTGGTGTTTCACTCATGATTTCGAAGATATTTATTAGGATGATGTCAATGCCTTTGATGATATTTAACTCAAGTCCGCCCTGTAATATTCTCCGAGCAGAGAAGATCCAGATATTCTTGTTTGTCAGGACAGGACATTCCTTTGATCTTGGCAATGTACTGTACCTCATTTCAGAAAAGGAATATCCTTTTGTAACACTGTGACCAAAATTGTATACAATATTCAAAATAAGTTCTTACTAGGGCATTGTAAAATGTTAAGATATCCTTCTTAACGAATTAGTTACTAATTTAGGGAATTGAAGCATTGATCCTTGTTTAAAATATGATTTCTGCCTATTATATTTAATTCATAAATACATTCTAAGTATAATAATTACATTGGCATTAACAAAATGCTATGTGTATTTCGAGTGGAGCATTTCTCAATAGCAACAACACTTTACAGGCCAAGAACAACTCTCTCACTGCTGACAGGGCTGTTGGATATGCTGACCTTGACAAACAGGTTCATATTTCACTTCTGAATTTGGTTTGTCACAGGATTTGTTTTTACACCTGTTCACTCCCATGAAAAATAAAATGTTTGCAGAATATTTAGGTTTGAGTACAGGTGACCCTTATACAAACCACTGAATGCACAGGTTTCAGGTCCCAAAGAAAGGCTTCCATACAATGCCTTACCTTGGTATTTACCCCCAAGTAAACTGAAAACACAATCTTCAATTTCAGATTATGTAAAAATAAAATTGTAAAAAAAATAAATGTAATTTTTAAATGGACGTTTGTATATACTTGCCTGTAGTACATTAGATATAGTATTTATACTTAATGTATAATGTATACAGTACGTAGTACATAGTATACAGAATGTGTATACATTCTAGAAACACCACATTTCAGCTGCTGAGCTTTCTTCAGGCAATGTCTTCACACCCTCAGAAGGATCTGCTGGTTAAATGTGATTTTTTAATATTTTCTGCTTTTCAGTGTGGAATTAACCTCTTGTTTGTTCCTTTACAAGCCAAACTGAAGCTGCTCCCTACTCATATATTGTATATTGATTTAGATAAAAGAAACTTGCAGATGACAGAGTGTGTGCAACCATAGATCAGTCTTTTCTACAGGTAACTCAGTTTCTATGACAGAGGAAAACCTTATCGTTACATTTAGGAAATAATTTGTTCAGTGACGAATTCATGAAGGGCGAAGTCTGGTTACTCTGCCGGATGTTTTTGGTCTTGTTGCAGATCCCCCGTTTTTTTACTAACTGAATGAATTTCCTGCTCAAGTTGTCTTAAGGTTCCAACAAATAAGAGTGTAGCAGGCCAACTGCAGAGAAGGCTGTAATTGTAATGGCTTGCCACTTGAGGTCTCTAAACACAGCCTCTAAAAAGCTTGTTGATGGGCACTGCACATCTAATTTGTTAAATATTAGTTAATTGGTAAAAGATGTTGGAATGCAGATTCTTACATGGTTTTTAATTAGGTTGGATTTCTATAAAAGGGTAGTTGTTTTGTATGTCTTTTCTTCTTTCTTTGTATCTACAGGTTTATACCGTAAAAAGGCCTGAAATAAAGATACCCGGTCTGTACCTTTTTGGAGTTATTGTGAGTTTTGTGTGTGCAGGCTCTATGGACTACCCTGATAGAGTACAGGTTTATACAAAACCTGACTGGAGCAGATTCAATAAACCGTTGCAAAAAATAAATAACATGAGAGGCAATCTAACCCATTTGGTTGATAGTAGCGAACTGCAAGCATACCAGTTTCAACAACGTGACTACCCGCTTGTTCCATTGAGAAATCATTACTGTAGTTATTTGCTCATTTTTCCTGTGACAATTAAATTCTACTAATGCTGTAAAGCAACATCACCAGGCCAATCACCAATTCTAGAACAAATACCGTGTTGTTCCTTATTTATAAATACCCTGGCACATTAAAAGTAGACATCAAGAAATACATTTGGACTTTATCACTGGTGGGTGAATTGCATTTTTCATTTAGTTGCCCATCATAAATCAAACCACTGTGAGGACTATGAGAGGTGTGGTGTGGACTGTGAGGTGTGGTGGTTAGCACTACAGCATTATAGCTCTAGGGTTAATCCTGGGACAATTGCAAACTGATAATATATAAGAAAAAATAAAAGGTATAATACATATTCTATTATTTTTTTACAGATTAGTTGTAAAATAGACTCATCACTTCTATATAAATGTCTTTATTTTAATAACAGGCGGTTTGGCTGGAAATCTGAATATATTGAGAGGAACTGTTTTATCTTTTATCTAAGGATGAAGTACAATTCATCTGGAAGCAGCAGTTCAGTCAAAGAAAAAACGCATGCGGAAAGGTCAGATAAAATAAGAAGCCACATCTGGAAACCAAGAACTTTGCTAAATAAGGCTGTGGTGTTCCGCTGTACAGACATTCCAAGTTTCCAGAATTCACAATGTAGATCAATTGTCATTGTCTTCTAGAATGCTTAACTGTCAGTAAAAGTTCCCTTCTGTCTCCATAGCAGCATTGTAGATATATATATCAAGTAAAAACAGAGAGACCATTATTTCTTCTTTCTATTTGTGTCTTCAACCTTGTCTCCTATTTCCCTTTGCAAGTCTCAAAAACATTTTTAAAATTATATGACTGCTGGGACACACTGGTAAGAATTTAATTATTAGTATTCAGGAAAAGTGAGATTTCCTTTTAAAAGACCAAAAGTAAATAATTTTATTTCCCTTAAATACATTGTTTATTGCTGTATAAGTCTGGTTTACCTGTGGAAGCCTAGAATGTCAGATTTATTAGTATGACAAGCAAGGCTACTGAATGTAAAAATATTGTGCTCTTGTATTGACATATCTGACTTTAAAGCTGATGCTTCGACGTACTGCATATTTGAGGCAGTGATATACTTAAAACTGTAGATCAAGAACAAGGCTTCTGACCACAATAAAGGAATGCAATTAACAATTAATTCTTTTAAATCTATCATCTGGAGAGACATTAGTAACAAAGTCGTGTTTAAAATAGAATACATTTTAGTCTAAATAAAAAAAACCATCGAATTCTACATTACCTCATTAACTATGATTGATGTTCCCTCAGCAAAGGAGCGTGACTGCATAAGAAAACAAAAGTGAAATAAATGCTCCGGCTGAGGGAACTTTTTGAAAAAATGAGCGACGCAGCTTCTGTTCCCTACGGTCCTAAAATACCCAAC